AGTCTAGGTTGTTTGATGGCACTCACATATTAGTTCATCTAACAATATATAAAAAGTAAATGAGATATTTAAAAAAGTGTGATATTAATGCTACTCTCGAATTAAGTGGATTCAACTATTCTTTATTCAAATATATTTATCATTCACCGTATAATTGTGTCCCCCAGCTAGCTAGCTACTCGATAGGTTTCTTGTATATCATAATAGTATCTGAAATAAAGCATCAATATGGCAAACAAAGCTAGGCACATTATGATATATCTTGCTTTGGAATCTCTATATATGAACGCTAAGATAAATTACAAAGGGAGGAATCCACGCTAGAAGGAATAGCATTCCTGAAATTATGACCTTTCAAAAAGTGGTTTCTTTGAAAAAACGTTTGAAGTGTGGACTACTTGTGAGTTGGCTCTTGATGTTTCAAGAGCAAGCATTTGGAATTACTTCAACAGCACGATGAGCACGAATGATTCATCCAAACTTGTACAAGAGCTTAACAAACCACACGAACATAGTGTACCAAAAACAAAAATCAAACATCAATATAGTATTTTCAGAAAACCCACATCAAACACGGATTTAAGGATAGCCAACCAATGCATCCTTCTCACAGTCATCGTATGAACTGTGAAACGCGTTATCTAATCACGGACCTCGTTTTCTCTTGCATGCTTTCGGACATACATAATGCATGTTCATCTTCTAGATACCTAGTATAGTGTGTCAATAGTGCATGCAATTTAAAACCGTGTGTGACTACTATAGAGTATAGAGTAGAGAGAGAGAGAGAGAGAGAGAGACGCGCGCGTATGTGGAGACTTTTGTCAGTGAAGGATGCTTCGAGTTGATGTATCTTGCCTGGGTACAACTATAGCTGGGTTCTTAAGTTGGTGTCTCGAAGGAAACAATACTTCATTTTGAGAATGACATGCTTTAATGTTCAAACCTGTGGCAACCACAACTTGAGAATCTGTATAAACTTTGTCAAACTTTCCTACACACCACCACCTCATGTGTTATGCCTAGATGCGGATGCTTTAAAGTATATATTTGTAGTCTTTTTGAAAATAAAATAAAGCACACTTACGTTTACGGGACAAAACTTATGTACAAAATCTTAGCTGTTTGTAGCATTGTCCTTTTATTTACATTAAAATTTTATATCAATAGTTTGTATAATAAACATTGCTAGGGTTTAGTTATTGAAGTAAACTTTTAATTTTGTTGAAGAAGGCTACAAGAAATTAAAACCAGTAAAGTTGATTGGTCTGATTGAATAAGCGCACTAAAATACAAGATTTAAACTTGAATTAATTTTTACATTTGATAATATTTTTAAAATTATACCATTTTATTTATTTTTTGTTTATTTTAATAATTATTTTGTATAACAACTAAATGAGAGCTGTGTTTAAGTGTAAAAATTACTTATATTTTATTTGTTGCATTAATAAAAAAATTTATAAGCCTACTTTTGTGCTATAAATAGAAATAAAAAAGATATCATATTTAAAAGTTGAGGTACATCAGTAATTATGATTTGTTTATATAAGTTATTACTAAAGCATACAAATTATAGTTGACAGGTAATTATTAAATTTTATTATGAATGTTGATAATTAAAAATAATAATCATTTTAAATATAAATTATCTAAATTTTTAATTTAATACTTGATGTTGTCTTATTATGTCCTTACACACAAGAGCACGTGCAAAATAAGAGAAATGTAAGGTGAAATTACTCTTTTAAATAAAAGTAAAAGATATTTTTTACAATAATGATCAAATTTAAAATTTTTAATTTTAATTATTTGTGCACGACTATATAATAATTTTTTTCTGTTACATTACTAATTAGAATAAGAATATAATATATGCACAATTTCAAGTGTTTTGAATGATTAATTTTGTGATTAATAATATAACAGTAGTCGTAGTCATAGACAGAATAATTCTTGTTGTTACGTTTTTTTCTTTACTAAAAAATTTTACATCTAATTTTTTATAGGGATATTTTGAACATTTTAATATCGTTAAAAAATAGCAAGCACAGTTTTTTAAAGTATATAATTAATTCATAAAATGATACTCAATAATAAAAACTAAACGTGTATTTTAATATAGTATAAATATACATATTGTATATATTCATAAACACTAATTTTATATATACTAATAATACTAACTAGATAAAGAGATAAATCATGAGATTACGAGGGAACCAAAAATATATTTTAAAATGGTCTTAGATATTATTTGATATATATATATATATATATAATCTTTAAAAAATATTCTAAAATATAAAAATATTATTTGATATCTTTTATTTTAACAATCGACAAATATGCTTAATGGACTAATTTTTGGTTATACTTGCTCTTCTGTACTTCTTTCTTCTATACATTCATTAATCTTGTATTACCAAGAAAAAACTTCAAAACTTGGGAAATTTGGTCTATGTTTTAAAAATTAACTTTTAAAAATTAAAATAAATCATAAAATAATAAAAGTCAATTTTTTTAAGAATAATGAAACTAAACACACACCTACTCACTGAATGACTGTTTTTTATGGACAAGTCTCCCTCTATAACTCCAACTTCAGTTATCCGGCTGACTATGCATCACTGCATTGGGCCCGGCCCATTCTATCTGCCATTCATAAGGTCATTAATATTTTCACCTATTGTTGACAAAAAAAAAAAACATTTACCCCTGATTCTCATTATTAGATATTTTACTTTATAACTAAACCACTATAGATAACTCTTTCACCGGATTTTATAGGATTTAACACCATAATTTCAAATCTACCTATTTTGCATGTGAAAAGTACATAAAGAGTTTATAAAAATATTTTCATAACTTTTTTAGTTTATTTTATTAAGTTTTAACATTAAAATTGTACAACAAACCTTCATATAAAAATATTAAATAATTATTTAATTAAATTTTTTATTTAAACGTATGTCTAGACTATTATAGTTGGTCTAGATTTTTTTTCCAATTTGTTTTAGCAACCCATCTTAACGACACTTGCACATTTTTTTAAGGTATAGAAAAGACAAATCATTGTAATCGAATACAATCTATTTTGAAGAAGTATTTTTATGCGTATAAAAAATATTTAAAAATTAACATGTTACTGTGTTATTAATATTTTAAAAGTTATAATAAGTTATATCCTTAATTACGATCCACGCGAACCGCGCGGACCCGCAACGTTTACTACGTGATGTAACTTATGCATTTCCCGCGATTATTATATGCATGAAATGTTAGAAAAATCCAGATATTTAATGTAGTAGTCTTAATCTAATTTTTTTTATTCCCTCTAAAAATTTTATGCAATCTGAACCATAAAAAAGCTTCAGTTCATAATTAAAAAATTATGGACATAAATTATCAAATACAAGCTTTGGATTGGACTGAACGTCATGTGATTTGTTTCCAAACTAGAAACAATCAAGTTTTGAAAGTAGAAAATATGCTATTTGTTTGCCTGTAGTTCGAATTGATGATACCATATTTAACGATAGAATGAGATTTGTACGTAAAGGTACTAGGTTGTCGTAAATAACTTTACCAAAATTTAAGATTAGTTTGAATTAGTTAATCTAGTTCAACAGATATTTGTCAAACATTTCTTAAATTTCTGCTGCTAGCAACAGCATGTATAACAGGGAAAATAGGACCACGTCCTTCCGTTTTATTGGTAACATAAATGAAAGAAATGTTACGCAGAGTTAGCAGCCGCTAGATATCAAGAAAGCACACAAAAAAACATAATAACTTTCCTTTTTATAAATTAAGCTATTGAACACTTGAAATAAATTATGGAATTTTAAACTATCCATTATCCAATGAAAACCTGAAATTCTCAAAAATAAATCAAAATCCACACACTTTCACTTGAAATGGTATCCCAAGTATCAGTAGTGAATGTAGTTTAGACGATAAATACTTAGCGGCCTAGCCGTATATAACATTAGCGGAAATTTCAAAATAAACTATGTGAAAATACTCTTTTTTTAATTCTATCAAACTTTCATTGCAAATCAAATTCTAATAGCATGTTTAGATTAGTATCAAATCAACTAACACATGGATTTATTTTAAAGCTTCAAATTGAAACTTTCGTATTAAATTTTTTACCATAATTTTATACATTTTTCAAACATCTATGTAATTAAGGTCTATTTATACATAGCAAATAATCGATTCCATTTAAAATAATATAATATTTTGTTTAAAAATCCTTTACATAAATGCCATCGTAAAGCTAAACAAGCTCAACCATTCTTTCACCCAAGGACAGTTTGGTAATTTAAAGCTTAGTATGTAATTTAATAACTTGATAACTTTAAAAGTTATTCAGGGTCCTCCTTATAATATTTAAAATTAAAAAGTTTAAGTATTTAAAATTATTATTTTTTAACTATATTAAAAATATAAAATTATTTTCTATAAAATTATATAGTTAAAAAATAACGTAGCTTCAGCTGTAGTAGTATACAAATAACGTTGTCTGCCTCGTGAAAGTCAGCGTATGTGATGCTATTTTTATTTTTTTTTGAAAGCTGTCAATGCTATTCATCAAATGGATAATTTGAATAACAACATTTTGTAACCAAAAAAAAAATCCAAATCAATAATTTCACAATTTTTTTCCTTCGGTTATTACTGTTTTTTACAAGAACATTTATAAAATTTTTAAATATTTTCCTATTAATCAAATAAAAATTTTAAATATTTTTATTTTTATTTAATACTTTCTTAAAACAAAAATCATGAACAATTAAATTGGGGAACGCAATTGAAAGATAATTGAACAATGACAAAGAAATCTTAAAAGGAGGATTTGCGGGACAGGTGGCAAAAGAAGAGAGTGGCTGTGACGCTTGGAAGTACCCAACACAAAAATCATGTTAGAAGCTTTCTCGAACCTTTTTGTGAGAGGCGCATATTTTTGTGCTATTCCACAACGTGTCTCTTCTGTGTTTAATTTATTTAATTAAATAATACATTTAATTGCTTCTCTCTACCTTACTCTGTTACATTACACCCACACACAAAAATACCCAATTTCTCTCCAACGAAAGCAAAAATCAAAACAAAACAAATTCCAAGTATTTTTCTCTGTTCCCTCTCTTGCTTCATCATTTTTTCTTCAATATTTTATAAATTTTCTCTAATATAAAAAAGATTAAAATATTATTATTGTTGTTGTTGTTATTTTAAGTTTCTGGTATAGTCGTTGTCTCTTCAGTTCTGTGAAATTATTCTTTTCCTCTTTTTTTTTTTGTTTGGGAAATTTGAAGGTGAAAATGGCGAGCTCGGTGGAGAAGGAGGTTGGTGCTGCGGGAGCAGGTGCGGGTGCAGGGGAAGAAGCTGTGTCTTTGGAACTTCCAGCTCCACCTGGTTGGAAGAAGAAGGTTCCACTTCTGATTCTTTGTTCTTCCTCCTCCTTTGACTATTCGATTTTAGGGGAATTTCCATGCCATGCTGTTCTAATTGCTTTTTTTCTCTCCAATTTTATGTGAATTTCGTTTATTTTTGTGATTTGCATTGTTTTCGTGCTTTGCTTGGTAGTATACCCCCACCTAGGGATTTGATTATCTTTCTTCGCACTTGCTGAATACTTATGCTTTGAAATTCGCATAAATGCTTTGGGCTTTTTGTCTTCTGAATTAAGAAAATTGTCTAGCTGCTGAGTGTTAAGTTGCCTGTTAGGGTTTTCTAGAGGTGTCTTACATTTCCGTTTAGGGAAATGATGGATACTTACCGTATGTCATGTAATATTTCCTTTGAAAGGTTTATCATTTCTTGTCTGAAATTTTGGTAGTTTTTGTGAGACTGTTGCTTACAACTCTACATCTGTTTGGAAGGGTTGAATTCATATCTGCTGCAGGCCTGCTCTAAGGATTATGTTTATTTATTTATTTCATGGTTATAAGAAATTATACTTCTTTCTAACTAATATTTGTGTCTAGAGAAGGTTGTTGCCCATGTAGCACAAGAATTTTGTGTGGGGAAATTTATTACTTTGGATATTGATTTTTTTTTTCTCTTTTAATTTGCCAATATGGATAGTATGTGTTTGGACTTGATTATGTGTTTGTATTATTGAGCTTATTTTGCATTTGGACATGGAAACTCCAGGATGTCTGGCATTTTATCATATTGGCAACTCTAGGTGCTTTACCACATGATAACGGGTTCTAGTGTTGTTGCCTTGTTGGTTGTGTTTGTCTGTTTGTTCTGGGGATAATCCTAATATGTGAGCAATTGCCTAACAACTTCCTTTTTCCCAATGATAGAGGAACTTCTAGTATTGCTTTTCAAAATGACAGGCAAACATGGGTTTGCTTGAATTACTTGTGAGTAAAGACATCATTCTACGTTTTCCAAGATATCTTTTACACATCCGTTCTTGGGTGATCATGATAGTTTTATTCTTGTGTCAGAATCAACTCCCACTGCTTAACAACCCCCCTTCCTCAAAAGAGGTGAGAAAAGAGAAGTTGCAGGAATCAGAAAACTATCTTCAGTCATTTCATGTTTGAGTCCAACACAATTTATCATTCTCAGGATTTTCTCTAAATATTTTTATGAAGTTCAGCTAGCCCTGTGATTATGAGCTTATTATCTGATTTTCCTTTTTCACACACAAAAATTACAGGTATCAAATAATTCAACAAATAAATTCTTGTATTTTAAATACATTTCATATTTCATTAGAATGAAAATGTATGGTTTTCTGTTATACAGTAGATGAGGTTGAATTCCAGGATTGTAAGTACAGTTATCCTTCTACATTTGCCAAAATATCTGTCACAAGTAGCTATTCTTGGGGAAACATGAATTAGTTTTTTTTTTTTTTTTCATATATCAGAATCACCCCCCACGAGCTTAACAACACCCCTTTCCCTAGAAAAAGGTGAGTAGTAAAAGTTGCTGAAGTTACAACATATCTTGAATAATTTGATGTTTGAGATTCAACACAGTTTCTTGTTCAGTTGTTCTCAACCCCCCTCTTTTTCTGTTTAGTTTTTAAGGTGTTCAGCTAACTCTGTCCTAGGCTTAAGTTGTAACCTAGTACTTATTTGAATTAGTGTTTAGCTGTACTCTGGACTTCCAACACTCATGATAAGATATTGAGCCATGTAGCTTTATGCAAACTGTACAGCTTTTGTGACACTATTGTTTACAATGAAATCAGCTTAATCTGCAGTTGTTTGAGCTTTTATGCCTCCTAGTGACTTTTTGTGCTGCTTAGTTCTTTAGTTAAATCTTATGGTGTACGATGAATACCTTTTCTTACACATAAGATGCTACAATCATGTCTGGCATTTGACATAAACATTTTATGCTACTATTTCTGGCTAACTTTCAATGAGCTTGAAGAAATCCCCGTTAAATAGTGTATGGTTTGTGATCATGAGGAAAAATTGTTATAGTTACGTTCTTTCTAGTTTTTACATTCATTTTTTATTACTTTCTTCTTGTGAGTTGTTACCTTTCCTTAAGTAAACTGTTAAAATAGCTCGTGTACACACAACAATAATTAAGATGTAATAACTTCTCTCCACAAATCACCAAAAAAAAAAAGAAGATGTTATTAACTTCATAATTATTAACTGCAAACAAAAACAATCTTGTTTCTTTAGGTCTTTCATAATATTACCGATTTCATTTACATCCATTTATTCTATTGCCCCATATTTTACAAGAAAAATGTTTGCAATACATTCTTTTGAATACACCCATCAATGTCTTTGTGATTGGTTCATTTTTTTAAAAAGTTAAAACACTTCATAAATTAATCAGTTTTTAACAATTGTGTTGACCTTTTAAAATATGAACAAATCACAGAAATGTATGAAGTAGTGTGTTCAAAAGGGTACATTGATAGCATTCTTTCTTCTGAAAATTGACCTTAGGTCTTTCATTTCTTTTTTAACCTCATATTGTACACAGGAGAAACCCACCATGTAACAGCCTTTATCATGTTTCTTAAAGTAAATTACATTAATGTCCCTTGAGTTATTTAGATCATCCTAAAGATATGTGCATATATCATGTATGATTTTATATAATAATTTATTGCATGTCTCTTAAGGTGATCTAATGAACACAAGGTCGGAATCCTTAGAGCCCAAGCTCCCCATAGACTTGCTCTTTTTCCTATTTTTCCTAGGACATACACCTTCTGAAAATTAAACTACAAGAGAGGTTTTTGTCCTATTACTGCATGACGTTGTCTATTTACTTTCTATTATTGCATTTTAGATTGGTAAATGGTTCATATACAGTCTATATGTGTGCAATTTTGTTTTTTTTGGTCACAGTAAGAGCATCGGGTCACATTTTCATCTCTTCCACACCATTCCGTGGATTTTCACCTTTCCCAGGTATAGCCTGAATGGAAGAATTAAAGAGGGAAAGAAAAGCCTTCTGACTGAACAAGGTTAATTTAGTGCCATGCTACTTTCTTCCTGAAGTTTAACAGTAAAAGTGCTAGCTTATAACAGCCTATGATGTTTAATTAGGCAGACATATGCTTAAAACTTTGTACAACAATTTGAAAAAAAGAGAGCATGAAACATCAATTTTAATCACGTTTTCTTAGGCATTTAATTTGCTATTCAAATCATGAATGCCTTTTAACTTTAAACTGCATGAGCACGAAAGAGTACTGGAATGTAATTGTGATATGAAAGAAGTGAAGAAAGAGCCTCATTTTTCACATTAGGGATTACTTGCCTTAAACCAAAATCCTGTATGTATTAAATTTGTTAATTTGTTGCATGTTTCTGCACATCAGATTATTCATATATCATTTCCCTTGCAGTTCTTTCCAAAAAAGTCTGGAACCCCAAAGAAAAATGAGATTGTGTTCACCGCACCAACTGGAGAGGAGATCAACAATAGAAAGCAGCTGGAGCAGTATTTGAAATCAAACCCTGGTGGCCCAGCTATATCTGAATTTGACTGGGGCACTGGTGAGACCCCGAGAAGATCAGCAAGAATCAGTGAGAAGGCCAAAGCGGCTCCTCCACCTGAAAGTGAGCCCCCAAAGAAACGTGGCAAAAAATCATCAGCTTCAAAAAAAGATACTTCCCAGGAAGAAAAAGAGGAGACAAAAGAAGTGCAAATGCAAGATGCTGATGAAACTAAGGATGATAAAGATTTAGTGCAGGAAAAGAATGTTGTGAAGGAAAATCAAGATGAGAAGAGAGTAGAGGATACGGATGTCAAAGAATCCCCTCAGCCTGGGGAAAATACCAATATATCTAATGATGAGGAAAAATTCAAGACTGCTGATGGAGAGTTACATGCCTCAGTTGAGAAATTTGACGACAAAAGAATTGAAGGTTCTGAAGTGGTTCAGAATAAATATGAAGAAAAGATTGGACAACCACTGGAGGAGACAAAGAAAGATGGTGGATCTGCAGAGGCAGAGAAATCTGAAACAGCCCCTGCTGCTGAGAAAAAGGTTGAAGTGGAAGGAGAGAATAAAGAGGAACACAACAGAGGCATTGGCGAGTCTGAAGGAGAAACCAAGGAAAAAGAAGGAACAAAAGTCAATGATGAAGAACATTACAAAGTTCATGACATAAACAAGAAGGCTGAATCGGATTTGACCGAGAATGGAAGTTAAACTGGTTATAAGTCAAATCTGTCTAATAAGGAATATAATAAACTCTTGCCTTCTCTTCTCTCATTCTGACCCTTTTAGATCTGTCCGAGGATGACTGTAGTTCTTGTTGTCATGTTAGTTATCTGATTGTTTATTGAAATGACTATAGACAATTATAGAGTAGCCCTATATGTACCATCCTTCTATGTATTGGAGAGACGTGTAGCTTCTAGTTCCCCCTTCGTAACATTGTGTTGTAAGATACTTGTACTGTGTTGTGGACCTGTAAGCATGTAAGGACGTGATAAACTATTATCGGGTTTTATCAGGTTCGTGGATGTTGTTTACTACCATTTGTCTGGGCCGAAGACCGGTCCAATCAAAGTTTCTTTCCAATCTTATTGGAATAAAGGCTCTGACCGTTTTAATTCATTACAACGGGGGTATTTATTTATGTTTTCATTCTACTGTTAAACAACCACCAACAACAACAATAATCATAATCACTATCAGCCTTGAGTATTGATATTGCACGAGTCATGGCCCTCCCCTGCTTGTTTTCTGTTTCTTCTGCGTGGCAAAGGCCAAATAAAGGCGTGGGAGCAGTGGAACCGCAAATAACAAAAGCTGGTTCTCTCTTTGACCAAAACCACAATTTAATCACCCTACAACAACTTGAAAGACCTTCCATTTGCGCTGTTCGTTGAACGAAAAAATAAATCTTGTTAAATTCTCGACGACGTCAAAATTGCAGTTTTGTGTGAGCAACGAACGATGAGTATTGGTCTTTTTCTAGCGGTAATAGATAATCTGAGACGGGATTCCCCCCAAGACATGAATTATGTGACCCAGAAAGGAAATTTAATGGAATTCTCTATTTTTATGAGTGAGTTGTAAGATGAGATAAAATGTCTTGTAGCTTCCCTCAAAGGCTCAAAGCCCTTTAAGTTGAACAACCAACCCTGTCAAGGAGGTCCACTTCTCAAATGCACTGGCCGAAGACACAAAGGCAAGTTTGGAGGACTCAATGTCATTCCGAGCAACTGCCAGAAAAATAAAAGCCAGAACTAAGTTCTTAGCACAAGGAATCTTGGAGCCCCCTGACTCTTAATTACGTTAGCAAATTACTTGCACAAATATATGTGCCAAAGACAGAAACCATTTATATATGAAGGCTTCTTAAAAGAGTCTATTAACAAGGTTGCATACAGGCGATATTTTTCCCGGTGTGTTTTTCTGTTTTGTGTGAATCTTGATTCTTAGTTACATGCAACTCACCTGATGAAATCAATGAGGCTAGTGAGGAATTGAATGTGTCCACCTCAGTCTTTTCTTCAGGACTGGAACTCATCTGTTAAAAGGTTACCCGCAAACTGTGAGGTATCCAGTTATGAAGAAGTTTAAATAAATAATAGATAAATATAAACTTTCTCCAAAAAATCCACCAACCAAAATGATTAATCTTTTAAAATTGATAATGAAGGCACCAGTTTTCTTCGATTCTGAAAATTCAGTCTAATACAACTATAAGAGAATTTAACTATGAAGAGGAAAATCTACTGTAAATTAAATGATTGAGAGGGTAATTAGATGATTGATGTTAGCATAGTATTTAATTAATGATACATTTTTGTCTAATTTTTTTATTAAAGATTGCATAACAAAAATGTTCATAATGAAGGAAACCGTTCAAGATATCAGACTTACCTTATTCAAAGCTATATTAGCTTTTTGGACCCAATCTGTATCAGTGCCACTCCCAAAGACAGAACCAGCTCTAGGTAGATCATCCTTTTCAATTGCTTGACCAACTTCACTCAGTTTATACACTAGGTCCTGAAGATACCCTGCAAATATTGTTTAATTTTGAGATGCTTAGTCACTCGGGAAGATTGTCCTGGCTGAATTTGAGAATTTAGAGAAGAAGGAATCAGCCTGAAAATTTTCTCTTATTCTACCCAAAAAAAAATTTATGTGTTTGGTTTCATGAAAAAAATTTGAACAAAAGATTACATGAAAAAGGGATAGGAGTTCACCATGAAAGAGAAACACTAGTTCTATCTCTCGTTCTTAATCTATTACTTTATTCCCTAAGCTAGGACTGTGTACAACTTACAATCTTTAAAGAAGCGGAGAAGAAATAACTTTCTTTTGAAATTTGTAGTTTTGTTCAATTGCTGATGGTAAAAAATAACCTTTCACAATACAACCTAATCAGGGACAGCTTCAAATATCAGTCACATGGAACTATTGTTCACTTGAGATCCTTAAGAAATGGACTATTTCACATTTATTAATCCGATAGAAAATTTATTTGCATTACCAGGGAATAAGCGATTCAATTAATATTTGTGAATTCGTGACAGAAACGGGTAACAAAATAAAATATGAATTTCAATTTTATACAAAGTTAGTGTAAAAAAGCTTTACACCAATGAAGTGCTAGCACATCATATAACGACTTTTCGACACCTATTGTAACTGCTAACACATTTACACTCATTAAATGAGATATCAATAAAAAAACTTAGATGATACTGTAAAAATGTTTTACACTAAGATTACATTAAAACTAAATTTAATACAATATTTGACAAAACATACAATAGAACAGGAATCCAAGTTTTTCACTTTATAAGACATTTTTGTTCGTTTGAGATCCTCAGGAATTGGGTTCAATTACGTTACTGCTAGCCCCAGCAGACTCTAATTTACGAATGTAACTTAAATTTATTTGCATTCCAGTGTGAACAAAGTCAATCAATTCAAGGAAAGGAACATGAAAATGAAATTCATATTTCAGGAAACACATAATAGGACAAACCAATAATGTACATTATTGGTCATCTTTAGGTAAAGATGTTAAGATTGCATCATTCCATATTCACCAGATAATGTAGGGAAAAGCAATATGTAATTTTTGCAGGATGAGACCTGTTTCTTTGGTGGATGAATTGATCAAACCTTGTCTCTCAAGTCTCTTCTTTCTGTCCCTCTTTACTTTCTCCAAGAGCTCTTCATCATCATCTGCCTCAAGTATTGCAGCATTAGCATCCTCACCAACCAATGAAAGCACAAAGCTGGTGAAAAAACTGACGGATAGGCCTCTTTTGGTAAGAATTGGAGGATGTAATGCTGGCTGATTAATTGCTTTGCAATTAGTTAGTTGCCTTTTGACACTGCATTTGATAGGGTGGTAAACATACATTGGTGTTGCTAATGATAAATAGTATGATGATGATGATGATGATGAAGATGGTACACAAAAGGGGTTTGCAGTTGAGAGGAAATTTGTTGCCATTTTTTTCTTTTTCTTTTTTGCCTCTCCTTTTTCCACTTTTAAAATTTCCTTATTTTCCTGTACTTTGGGCCTGAAAATTCTTAAGGCATGACCCTTCGGAATCCTTTAAGGATAAGGTTGTTGGATTCTGTAATCTGATCTAGTCAATTTTTAGATCCTGAAGGGTATTATGGTCATTGAAAAGTACCACCATCCTTGGTGGCACAACCTCTTCCAAGTTTCAATTGAGTGAGAGGATGCTAATTGACCAGGGAAAGTTGACTTGTATGCCATCCAACAAAGATTTTTTACCTTCAACTATTAAATTATGGAAAATATTAAGAGTAGAGTTTAGGTAACTAAAAGTAAAATTTTATATGGAAAAAAGTATTTATTATATTTTTATGTCTTTAATATAATAAATATATTTTTTTAATTAAAAATTATTACTTTTATATGTATAAACTCATTCTGGTTAAAAAAATCTTTAATTTACTATCCGGTCATATGTGATCATTCAGATCCCTACCAACCGAACCATTGTAAAAGGGATGAAACTTAAAGCTTCACTAAAATCAAGTATAACCAATGAGCCGTGAAATACTCAAATAGCTGGAACATTTTCTGGAAAAGGACTTTATCTACGCTTGGCATTCTCAAACATGTATAATAACTAGTAATTTCCAGGTGAGATGCTGATTCATGGTATTTTGGGTTCTTATAATTTGATTTACATGGGTCTTCAAGCCCTTAAGATAAAGCACTGCCCCACTCACTCACACACACGCACACGCGCACACACAAAAGTGTGCTTCGCTCATGGTTACCTTTTTTTGAAATCAACAATGGGAAGACGTAAAAAGCAGATTCTCTTACGTGGGCTGAGAACAATTGATGAGGCTAAAAGCTACTTTCTTTACAATTTGAGTTATTAAACCAAACACTGGACTCTCAAGCCAGCTCTAAAGGAAGTCATTGTTGATGAGATTATGATCATACTACTTTTTCACAGTCCTATGACACTGTCCTTACTGATTAAGTGTTTAGGAAAGGAAAAGGGAGGCATAACAGTGTAGCATACTGTTAAAGCTCTTTCTCTAGTTCGTTTTAGAACTTAGCTTTTATATTCATTATTGGGTGCATTCTAGTGTTTTAATTAAAGCGCTTCCACCTTCTCAAGTAGTCTTAATTTTTTCTATTGGTCGTGCTTAATTACAGTATATATCTGCTTTGGCTTCGGGGTCTTAATGGTTTTTAAGCTTTAATCTAAATTGCTTCAGTTAAACCAAAGTAATTGCTCTGGATTATTTTTATAAGAAAAAAAAAATAAATCATTACTAGCAAAAAGATTAAATCATTAAGACTAAAGAAACTAATTATTTTTTTATAAATATAAATTTTATTTTAAAAATAATTATAATATTAAATAGTATAATTAGTGTAGTCATTACTTCTAAACATACATTTAACAATAAAAAATAGTATAAATTAATTTTATGATTAATATATCTTAAAATTATCATATATTTCTTATACTTAAGATATAAAAAAATGTTTCATTTTATTTTTTATAAAAAATACTGAAAGAAATATATATTATTTTTTATATTTTTTTCATTAACTGGATATAACAGTTTATCTTGTAAAGTTATATTACCTTATTATCATAATTTAAATTTTTATTCTAAAAAGAGTGATTGGTTAAGAATTATCAAAATATGAAAATTTTTTCTATTATAATTCAAATATTTATTCTATAAAGAGTGATGGACTAAGAATTATTAAGATAGAATAATTTTTATTACATTTTTATTCATATTTTATATTATTTTTCAATATTTTCTATAACAAAATTATATGAACATTTTTAATATATATATATATATATATATATATATTTAAAAAGTATACATATTTTTTAAAGGAAAGTACATTTTAAAAAATTGTAACAAAATTCTAATCAATGTATAAAATACATTTTAAATTTTTTATTCTAATTATAATTTTTTCTAAAAATAAATTTAATTATAAAAAATTTTCATATATATATATTCAAAATAAAAATAAATAAATTATTTATTTTTAAAAAAATATTTTACTTTTGATAAAAGAGTGATTTTTTATTTAAATATAATTTATATTTTTATTCATCTCAAACATTAAAAAATAATATAATATTATATGTTTTAAATATAATTTATACTTTTTTATATACATCAAATATATAAAATAGAATAAAAGCTTATCATTTTCTTATTAAATTTTATATTTATCTATTTTATTATTTCCTTATTATATTATGTACCAACACACCTAAATGTACTTGATCAACTCCACAGTCAAATTTTTTTCAATAAATTGTGTAGAGAAAATATGCAAAGATATGATCGCATATTGAATAGAAATTTAAGCCTTTTAAGTCAACTTTTCCCCCAAAAGCGAAAAGAGCTATACAACAAACTTATAGAACAAAGTATTGGTTGTGTTAAGGGTTAAGTAAGTACTCTCCCGCAGGCTGCTGCTATTTTAAGTTACCGCTGTTTTCTTTCCCATATAGTGTGTAAGCTTATTTTCGAATAACCAAAATTGGAAAAACTTTGACTCAAGTTTTGGAAGCTTTTAGAGCTATGTTCATACACTATTTCCCAAGTTGACTCAAAGAAGAAAGAAGGCATTATTATATAGATGTTATTCGTGACTCAATGACACCAAAAATGCAATATTATAATTTATTTTATCATTTTTCTTTCTATTTTAATTAGTTGGACCATTAATGTGTCCATCTTTACCACTAGAAGTTTTCATATCTAATGATATCATAATTGGAGAGAAACTTATAAAAGATGCCCGAGTGCTTTTAGCTACTGAACATTGTTGGTTCTTCAAACTTTGTTTGGATGTGGAGTCAAGTAGAAAGAAAAATACGAAACAAAGTATAAATAAAATGAAAAAAATTGGACGTTAAAATAGAAAATAAAAAAAATTCACTTATTTAGATGAATAAAAAAGTAATAAATAATTATCATATATTTTTAATAAAATAAAAAAATTAGTCACTTGTTATTACCTTTTTCTCTCTACTTTCTCCAACTAAATAAAGAATGTTATTTGTCCTTTTCTTATTTGTTTTTTCTCATTTTTATTTTAATTCCGTCGAAACATAGTGTGAAAAGTGCACATAAGCTTGAGTTTACTCGTTATGCAAACACACAATTTCCAACCTTTTTAACCGGCAACTCAAGTCAACCAAGTACACGTGGCTATTTGCTTTTCTCTGAAGTTGCCTTGCTGGCTAAGTTACCCATAATTTAATTCACTCATCAATGTCTTTAGTTCATCTACTACTTTTTCAACAAATGTTACACACAACTTAATTTAATAAACTCATCTTGATGAGTTAAACTTTTAAAATGACTCAAAACTAAGAGTTTATAGAAGGTAAGCCATTTAACTTAAAGCGTTTATATGATAAGATAAAACATAAATTATATTCAAAACTTTCAAACACCTCCTGAAAATGTTTTCAGAATAGAATTGTGGGTATTTTAGCACATTGAAAATATCTAAGAATTGAAAATAACTGAATGACGGTAATTTTTTGCGCTACAATAAAACGGTTCTCTTTTACTGCATCTAAAGGGAAAAGAACGTTCTCTTATGATTTCGTGATTACGAAATTTAATTATTGAAAAAAAAATCTCTTAATTTTGACAGTAACGAAAGCATAAGCTATATGCGATTGGTGGGAGTTGGGACGTCTTATTCTGGAAACAATAATAATACCTATTAATTATACTAATTAGTCTACTTTAGTTTTTGTTTCTACGCAACAATTTTTTCTCATTATCATTAAACTTAATCATCATTTTATTTTTCCTCTTTTTCTTTTCTTTACCAAACCTGGATGAAGTTGAGGTATCCCGCATCGGAATTCAGAAGACTATGTTTCCTTTTGAACGTTGGTGAGGAGGGATCAGATTCATTCAATTGGTTGGTCACGTGATTTATTCTTTGAGAATTGTGGTCACATGACTGTCTCTGACAGACACAGAATGGAGTTTATCTTTGACTCGGACTGACTCGGGAATGAGTGAGTGAGTTACCACTTCGACTCGGATTCCCACTCGCCGACGTCATGACGCGTATGTTTTGGTATTACCCCACTTTCCACCCGCTTTCCTCCGGTGAATAACACGCGCTTTTCGAATAACCATTTCCGATAACTTATATGTTAAAATGCAAATGAAAGGAAAGAAACTTAAAAAGCAGAATGATATACAAAAAATAATAAGAAATATTATACATTTTAAATTGAGAGAAATATAATTATTTTAAATTATAAAATAATATTAAATCATTTAAATATAATGATAGAAGAGAATAAATAGCGATTGTAAGATAATAAATAAATAAAACTAGCAAAGTTTACATAATAATTCACAATTCTTTGTACTTTCGTTCTAAATAATAGAATTTCATAATTCTTTCTTCGTTTCAAAATTTCCTATTTTTCCATAGTTCATTGAGTCTTTGTAATTCCTTAAATTATCTTATCATATAATCATTGATCTATTTTATTCAATCATTTAATAAGAATGTTCAGCAGGGATGCTTACAGGATAGAAGGGATCGACTTTAATTAGTGAATATTATATATTAATTTTAATATTATATATATATTTAAATCATGTAACCATAAATGTAAAAAATAGGAGTAAGATAAATTTTATATCATATATTTTAAAATAAAATATTATTTTTGAGTAAAATATTCATTAAATGTACATTTAAATAAATAATTAAATTAAAAATTTTAATAAGTTCTTATAATAAGAATTTATGGTATCAAATATCTTTCTAAAATTATTTTTAAAAACTTAACATAATCTCTTTCAAATATCTTTCTAAAATTAAAAAGTCTTATAATTAATTTATATTTTTTAAAAAGCAGAAAGTTGTAGAACATTAAGTTGGGTCAACATAATTCAAAATATAACAATTATAAGTTTGAAATTTTAAATATGTCAAAAACTATGAATCAAGCTTAATTCTAAGTTCATTTGTTCGCTCACATTTTTCATGGCACACAAAAAGTAAGGAGTTATATGTTAAATTCACAAATATTATTTTCTTTCTTTTTATTGAAATGATACCTTCTATTATTTACAATATTACCCGATTGATAAAATAATTTGGCAAAGTTTTACAGAAACTGGGATATATTCTAATAAATTGGCAAAGTTGTGGTACCTGATCGTTTCAGGTATTAAAAGATATTATGTTCTTTTCTCTTTTTATCAAAACGATACCTTTTTAATGTTATGCTGTCACCCTGTTCATATTATCACATACAAAAGTGGTACACCATACAAGTTAGAAAGCGATGTAAAACAAGTACTTCACAACACTATCAAGTTATACACCGTTAAATTGATAATTATATTTTTATTTTTTTTATGATAAATAGAGTTAAAAAAAACTCAAACAATAAGAACAAACTCAAAGTATCCATTCTAATAAAAAGTCACAAAAAAGGAGAGCTTTATATAAAAAATAAAAATAAATAGATTTTTAAACCAACTTTAGTTAATTTATCTGTTAGCTTATTTAGTAGAGAAACTAATCCTAATACAATTGATACTCTTTAGCAATGAAAATAAGAAATGATTATAATCTTATACATTCAAAATCAGAGACACAACTTATTTACAATCATTTTATATCTAAATTAGTTCAAAATCTTACTGAAGAACAAATTTGATCTCTAAAAAAAAACTCCATAACTTAACAACTATGAGAGAACAAGATTTTAAATTGCTTTGAAAACTAGCCACAAAATCTCCTTTAACATATGTGATTAAGCCTCCACATTTAGCAGCAAGTCTAAATTTTGAGACAAATTCATCCACATCCAGCTTAAATTTTCATTAAATTGATATTTTTTTATAGTTATTTTAAATTTTTATCTTATTTAAAAAAATAATAATAATTATTTAACTTTTTTTAATTATAAATTTTTTTGCCACTTCTATTTTAGCATTTAATAAAATTTTATCACGTGATAAAAACACCCATGATTATGCCTTTATTGACATTTAAATATTTTATTTGCTAAATATTTATAGTTTAGTTTAAATGACAAATGAATCGAGAAAAATAAATAAAAACCTAATTATTTAGATATATATATAAATAATTTAGATAAAACATATTTTTTACACCACCCAATTCTTAACATGTTTTTTCAAAAGTATTTTATATTATTTAATATTAAAACATAACAAATTGAAAAATAGCCAACATCCATCCTCCAAAATAATTGTAATAAGCGTAAGAACAAAATTATAGAATTCACTTTCTCTTCTTTTTTTTCGTTTTTAGTAAAAGATAAGATATTAAAAAAATTACATGACAATTATTTTTTTTATTTTTTTACAAGACTTTCATCCAAAAAGAATTATAAATATAAAGAAACAAAATATACATTAATTATTTAGAGCTCTCATTTCCTCCACTCACTTCCAATCAAAATCAAAATTCACTTATATTTTTTGAAACAAAATCAATCATATATATATATATATATATATATATATATATGCACATATAAACTAATATTTTTCTAAATTTAGGAATATTATTAATTTTTATGATAAATATATGTATTTCTATACAATATTTATAGTTTTTTATATTTTAAATTAAAAAATATATAAGTTACCAATCTAATAATTCAAATGAAACTAATCTATTATTTATATAATTGATTTATTTAAAATTTATAAAAAAAATTACAAATCTAAACAAAATAAAGTCAATTAAGTTTTTTATTGATTCAATATATTTTTCTAAAATATCGCTTGAATACATAATGGCCTGATTTGGAAAGGGGCGCGCGTGCAAAGGCGATGACCAACGGAAGGTTGTGGGATTGAACACGTAAAAAATTTTTAAAAAAAATAAAAAGAAAAAAGAAAGTGACAGACATAGCTTACACAAAACCGCAGGATGAGGAAGAAGTGCACTGGGAGTGACCAATGAAGACAAGTTCGGTTAGCATTGTTCTGCTGACACCAACACTTACACTGTTATAAAACCCCCCAATTCCCTCTTTTTTCTTCCCTTTTTCCTTCCCTTCCTTCTTCCCTTCCCTTCCTTGATCCGCTTCTTTAAGCCCCCAAAGATTTTTTCTTTCACTTTGCCAGAACTACCCCACTAATGAAATGGGAGCGTGAAGGTGTAGTTCAACGCAGCTAACACAGGGAGCGCTTCTTCGTCTTATGGCATGCCTGCGGAAGAACGACCACTGCGTCCATTTTGACCCTCTTTCAATTTCCCATTTTGACCCTCTTTCCCTCCTTTATCATCCTCGCCAATCGCATCATGATTCTCAGCTTCTTTATACCCTTCTTCCTCTTCTTCACTCCAATTGGTACTTTCTTTATCTTCTTTCAAAGCTTTTACTTAATTGACTTAGTTTATGATGTGGGCTTTTCCCTACTTTTTGTCGATTTTGTATCATCATGGATCGGTGTTTATGCCCTTGTGTGTTTCGTGAAGGTTGAATTTAGATTAACTTTTTATTGTTTTCTGTTTGTTGTATTATTGGGTTCTACTGGTTGCTTTCTTTATAAGCTCATAATATCAAGTTTTCTTTCTTTCTTGAGGGAGATGTTTTAAATTCCCTTTTTAAAAAATATACATATTGATTTCATTTTAAGGTATCATTGTGATTACATTGATCAGCGTCTTCTCTTCCTGATTTCGCTTGGAATCCCTGTTCCTTTGATATATGATGATTATTCCAATTCTATCTATTCCTAGTTCTGAATTATGGATGGTCTTTTGCATTGGCTTTTCTAAAGATTATTCTTTTATCCTTTCATGTGAATCTGCTTAGAACCAATTTAAATTCATCTCACTGTGATTGGCCAAATGATGTTGGGGCTATAGAAGTTACTAGCATGTATTTTATGTTGCCTGCATAATGTTAATGGAGCTCTAATCTACCCTGTTTGGTTTCCAGCTTCCGTGCAAGCATTCACTGGAACCTATGGTATAAATTATGGGAGGATTGCAAATAACATCCCCTCGCCTGATGAAGTTGTTACTCTTCTCAGAGCAGCAAAAATAAGGAACGTTAGAATCTACGACGCTGATCACAGTGTTCTCAAGGCCTTTAGTGGAACTGGGCTTGAACTTGTAGTTGGAGTCACCAATGGACAGCTGCAAGACTTTAGTTCGAATGCAGACCATGCTTTGAACTGGGTAAAAGACAACGTGCAGTCATTTCTTCCTGACACACGCATTCGTGGAATTGCTGTGGGCAACGAAGTTTTGGGTGGGGAGGACTATTCTCTGTGGGGAATTCTTCTAGGTGCTGTAAAAAATATTTATAATGCTACGAAGAAACTTCATCTGGATGAACTAATTCAGATTTCTACTGCAAATTCATTTGCCGTTTTTGCGAATTCCTACCCTCCCTCCTCTTGTAAATTTAATGATAATGTGAATCAGTTTATGAAGCCACTACTTGACTTCTTCCAACAGATTGGGTCTCCTTTCTGTTTGAATGCTTACCCTTTTCTAGCTTACGTGAGTGATCCTGAACATATTGATATAAATTATGCACTTTTTCAACCAACAAAGGGAATTTATGATCCAACGTATGATCTGCACTATGATAACATGCTTGATGCTCAGATTGATGCAGCTTATGCTGCTTTGGAGAATGCTGGATTTGACAAAATGGAAGTCATAGTTACTGAGACTGGGTGGGCCTCGAATGGAGATCAAAGTGAAGCTGGAGCAAATTCAACTAATGCAAGGACTTATAATTATAACTTGCGTAAAAGGCTTGCAAAGAGGAAAGGAACCCCACATAGGCCTAAAAATGTTGTGAAGGCATACGTTTTTGCCATGTTCAATGAGAACCAGAAGGGTGGGCATTCCTCTGAGAGGAACTATGGACTGTTCAAAGCTGATGGGAGTATATCATATGATGTCGGATTTCATGGACTTAATGCTGGAGATTCATCTCATTTGTCTCTTAAGGTACCTTAAATTTCATTTGGTGCTATATTGTTTGTTTAATCTCATTTTGAAATTTTCATGCACCAAACAAACAGAGGGGTAAAATCAAACAAGTTTTTTTTTTTTCCCACTTATTGCGGAATGTTCTCTTTTTATTTATTTCTTATGGTTTTGGCAAGTGGAATGGCTTATTGGGAGATAGGCTTACTGGAAACTAGTGTATCCTAGATCCTACATTATTGAGAAATTGACCCACAAGTTGACCTTAACAAAAGATAACTTACCACGTCAAGAATTTGAAATATTTTACTAGACGCATTGCTTTATTCTTTCGTATTGGCTTTATAATGTCATAAGAAGAATATAAATTGTGGAATAGATTTACGCCATTTGTTTTAATATGATGACTGTAGTTTCACTGAATGTATTGTTGTGATCTCTGTCCTAATCCCACATTGCTATACGGTAGACAACCATGCAAGGACACTGCATATTTCTCGCTTATTTAACTTTGAAAATATCTCTTTTCATAATCCTATGGCCTGTGAACCTAGAAGAGCCATGAAAATTATGCTTTCTTACTCTTATATTTTGGAATCAATTTGGTTAGATATGTGTGTAGGTTATGCATCTACATTCATGATGTTTTCGTATGTTTTTTGAATAACAAATAAGGAAAAAAAAATGGGAAAATGTTTTTTCCTTGATACTACTTTTCCACCTCTTTAGCTATAGACTAGCTGCAGAGCCAGAACCCATGTCCCATGTTTTGGGATTTATGAACAAACAAGATATTTGTGTTCTCATGTGAAACAATCAAGGTATATCAAGTCCGTCTTAAGTCTTAACTTCATGATGATGGTGACTGATTGTTGGGTGTACTTGTGCTGTGCAACCATGGGTCAAATCTTTTTTTTAAATGTTTTTGGCTGGTTTGGAAGCTGCCATGCTCATTTTAATAATATCCTAACTTCAATTTTTTTGTAGAAAAAATTCCTTAACCTATTTTTTTATCTCTCTTTAGTCTCCTTCCTCTTAATTTTATGTCTGGAATCTTTCATCTCATGGAAGTGATCAATCTAAATTAATGAAACCGCATGAGAACCGATGGTTATGGGTGATATGTCAAGTGTCAACATTGCTTTAAAAGCCTGGACCGCAAGAAATTAGGAACTTATTAAATTAGAAATGTATTATACCTTTCAAGATTATCTTCAGAGCCTGTGAAGTTCAGTATATTAATTGGTATGTATTGCTTTAAGGGGAAAAGGGAAAAGGTCGACTATTGATTTCATTGATAGGTGATTTAATCACAGACGGTCTCTTTCCTTATAGTCATTTTAAACTGACTGCTTGTATTAAAGTTTATAATTTGGATAAACTTCTATTAAAAAAATATATAAAACAAGAAATAAAAAGGTAAAATAAATCAAACTTCTTCTATAAATTAAAATCAAGTTTTGTTCCTCAACTTTTCGAAGTTAGATGAGAGTTTTTAAAATGGTTGAAGCATAAAGTCAATTTTAACTTGTCATAAAAGTTTAATTAAGTTAACGTTATTGTTTTGTTTCCTTACAAGTGTTTGTTGAGAAGTTTGTCTAAATTGAGCCTACCACTTTGAGAATTTAATTTAGATTGAATTAAGCCTATTATGTAATCTGATTATGCAATTTGTTTACTATCCTCCATTTTGGCGTTCATTGGTTAATATTGGATTTCACTTGGCAGAATATCAAATCTCAAGGTTTGTCCCGATCCTACACAATGGTATTCTCTCTATCTGCTTTGATGCTACTGATTTGCTGGAGTTAGTGATCTGATGATATGAACCTCCATACTAAACCAGTTCCTAGCAATGAAGAAGGGGTTTGGCTTTGCTGCACTTCATGTCCCCCCCTGTAGATCAAAATTATACCATTGATTGTCATATTGTCATAAAGCAATATCTAGAAATTATGATGTTTTTTGCCCCATATTCAGCAAATGCGTAATTATTTAACCTCATAAAGCATTTTCCCTTCGATGAGATCTGGAATTTTCACTTCGAACACCGTCATATGCCTCTTTTTCTTTGGTACAAAACATGGCCATATCCCTAAAGCATATATCTCTTTTTCTTTGTTGGTCATCCCCAAAGCATATAACTCCTTTTTCCTAAGGATGGAAGCCCATCAGACAAGGCCTGGCGAGCCAGTTGAGAAAGAAAAGTTTTTTTTTTTTTTAAATATATTTAAATTTGAAGAATGACAAATGCATGTATAATAATAAATGTAAGAAATAAAACCTAAAGATTAGGGCCAAACAAAAAATGGGCTCTGACTGGTTTTTAATTGACGTAAGACTCAGTCGATCTCTACGTCCAATCTGCTAGGAAGAGTGAAACGGTAAGGGTGCTGACTTGGCTCGAGTTTGAAGACATCAATGTTGTTTTGTACTGAGTAAAAGAGACAATTACATTAATACCTCTTCACCATTATTAGCTTATGAATTAATTAAGCAATAACAATTATTTTGTTGACTCAACCATACCAGGTTATATTGTTCAAATGGTGAGAATACAATCTACGAAATAATGACTTCCAGTTATGACCTTTTGGAAGCTAGCTGGGTGCTAGCTCATGTCAACTAATTACTATAAAAATACGGCCATACAGAGCAACGATGTAATTTTAAAATAAGGGAATGATCAATAATTGTGATATAGCCAGTAAATTTAATTTAGAACCGAGAGCTTCGATATATTTTTGCATAAATTTTAGTGTATTAAATCGCCAACGTATTGACAGATTATTAATATTAATACATTAGAAAAGATGAATTTTTTTTGAAAAAAATTCAAGGATAGTATATTTATAATAATAATTTCTGGTGAGAATTTAATGAGTCTCTTCTTTTCCTACTGTTTCTTTCTTTTTGATACATAACGTTTCGAGTTAGCCGATGGTCTACATTGTATATTCTTAAGTAGAATGTGTTTCATGGCATAGTTGAGTTGGCAAATGGCCAACATGCTTCTAGCAATTTTAATTAGTTAATGGTGGCATTGAAGGAGTAAAGTACTAAACTCTTTTAAGCTAGCTGTTCAACACATCTCAAGTGTCTACGCCAAACTATATACTATTTTAAAGCGGTAAAGTACTATTGCAAAATCTCATTTCACCCAAACCAAATCTTAATAATAAAGATATGATGAGAATTAAAAGTATCCTCAATTTCTACATCTTCTTATAAACGGGAGATAATTATTCTCCTACATGTTAAATAGATATTAAATCAAATATTTTATCACTATTTAGTTTCAGAATTATTTAAAAGAGGGGGTTATGGACACAAGGGTTAGAGACATGCTCAGAACCATATTTATCTGTTGACTTGCTCCCCAGGTATTTAGTCAATTTTTTATGATCCAACAACTTTGTATATTGTATAAAAAAAAGTATCAATCAAACCGTGACCAAGTGAGATGACAACACAACGATCGAAGGTTTCTTCTATAGACAATGCTTACTGCCTTCTATATATTCAATAATCAACACACACACAGAATGCACTTCCAAGTTCCAAGTCTTTCTCTTCTCAGACACATAGGAGCACAGAAAGAGCAATACATGATGGCTCAGTTAAGGAATGTGACAATTCTTATGATAGTCTTTGTGGCTGCAGTGAGCACAGAAGCTAAAGATTACACTGTGGGAGGTACCACAGGTTGGACTAGTTTTCCTCCTGGTGGTGCCTCTTTCTATTCCAAATGGGCTTCAAATTTTACATTCAAAGTAAACGACACTCTAGGTGAATATCTACACTGCATACAACATTTCTCATAAGCCATTATTCTAACAACATTTATTTATTAATATGTTTATTTGTAATGGAACTAAATTTGCTTTTGCAGTTTTCAACTTCGAATCTGGAAGCCATGCTGTGGCTGAAGTTACCAAGGCAAACCATGACAAATGTGAAGTGAAGAACAACATCAAAGTGTTGAATACGGGACCAGCTAAAATCACCCTTGATCACACAGGGGAATTCTACTTTACCTGCACCTTTTCAGGCCATTGTAGCAGTGGCCAAAAGCTAAGCATTAAAGTCAGTGGTACTTCTTTTCCTGTACCAGCACCAGCACCAGCACCAACACCAAAACCAAAGAGAACTCCAGCTGAAGCTCCTTCAGCTTCTGCTCCTGCATCCGGATCAGTTCCAAGCTCACCTTCCAATGAAGGATCTCCATCGTCCCCAACTCAACCAGGTGCTATAGCTCCTCCACCACAAGGCTCAGCAACACCTCTTTCTGCTACCTTCTCTCTTCTCCTAGTCACCATTGCCATCAATTTTTTGTCTCAATTTTAGGACACTTTCTGTTATTATGATTATCCATACCAATTTGTGGTGAAGGGTTCTTTCAATTTCAATGTTGGGTTGTCAACTTCATTCGTGGTGTGTTGGTGGTAATTTTTGTATGGAACTTGGAAAAATTTGTTTCAATTTCAAGTTTACGGATGAATAAACAGCTATGAGGTATCCTATTGTAGGATATACCAGTTCGGTTAATTTTATATGTAAATTATTATTCCACCGATGTCTTACTTTTCTGCCAAAAGAAATTTTAAATCGAAGTTGGATTTTAAAAATTGGGTTTAAGGTAGTGGAACATCTGAACACGTTACGCATAAACTAAAAATAAAACATGTATTGCGATATTTTGACTGAGTTTGTTCCATCTTATAAAAAGAAGATTAGGGTACAGGGCATGCATGACAGCACACACAAGATTTTATGTGATTTGGTGTGGTTGGATGTAAGTTGCAGTGTTTTAACTTTAACTTAAATATAAATATAAATATGAGTAGGTTATTTAGTTTATTTTAAGAAAATTTTTATTTACATTTTATAATATATTATAAAAAAATATAAGTGATTATTTTTTTTAAAAAAAAATCTCTGCAGAACATACGTGATAAAATTCTATTTTGACAATTTATGTAGGAAAATTTTAATCAAATTTGTGTTGTTCTAACAAAGAATTTGCTCCTAAAATAAATCAAGTTAATTGTATAGAATTTTACAAAAACTCTAAAAAAGTTGAGGTAGTCGTTAAAAATATTAATGAAAAAAGCTTTCAGATAAGCTCATTTAAGGAACTTTTTTAATTTCAAAAAATTCAATTAAAAACATTATAAAATTACTAAATAGTTAAAATTTAATTGTAAAACCCTTTTTATTTTAACTTAAAAAATGCAAAAAGCTACCTTCAATCTATTGTAATTCACACAAGTCTATGGTGAATCGGCACTTCCTAAATATAGTGTTCCACAATATGAACTCACCCGACCTATAATGCAATTCAAAATATAACAAAAGATGCAGCACCATTGACCAAGCAAAATATAAGATTTGTTATATGAATTAAAATTTATTAATCTTCCTTGGGATGTTCCGAAATGTTCAACTAGGGCTTCCTAACATAATTACAAATTTACAAGCTCATCAGACAATCTGTGGAATCAGTAAAATTGGGCTGCTCTTTCGGCCTTTTGGGCTTGTATTAAAAGTTACCAAGTATGTTCAACGGGTCAATATATTTTGTTTAAAATTATTTTTGATAAAAAAATATTTTAAATCATTAAATGCAATTAAGATACATGCATAAATTAATCTGAATTTATGTATTTATCATTAGAAAAATATATAAAATTAGTCTTTCAATATAAAAAAAATATTTTAAAAACATCAGGGGAGGGTTGTAACTGGTCATATGTAGTAATAAAACAATGCCAACATATACAATTAAATACATTTTGCTTAGTACATGAAAAGCATGGAGATTGTGATTGAAGAATGACCCGTTAATGAAACGAGAGAAAGGATATAATTAGCACTGTGTAGTAAGAGGTACCTTTGCAAGTGGCTTCCAAGCTACCAAAATTCCAAATCCTCGTACTTAAACGTGCTAGCCACACTCCCTAACAAAAATTGTTTTGGACATTTTTTTACCTCATCAAAACCTATCACTCTTTTACTTTATTTCTTTTTATTAACGAAAATATAAATTAAAACCTATCTCATAACATAAACGGTGTCCTGTTAACAAAAGGAAAGACCTTGTCAATAACGCAAATATAAAAATTAGTTATGATTGAAACATGAGGAGAAAATTAACAAAAATATTTATTTAAATGAGTAAAAATAAAAAATACTTAAAATTATTTTTATAATAATCATAAAATTTTAAAATTAATTTAAATTTTATTATTATAATGTTTTTAATAAAAAAAATATAAAATTTTTAATTATTTATATTTTTATATTACATCAATGTTTTTTAATAATTTAATGAATAGATATGTAGTCCCAGTCTCGTCCTCTCTACTTCTCTCGAGGGAGAAGGGGAAAAGGGAAAAGAGAGGTCGTTAAACACGGGTATAACATCTACAGTGTAACATTTCATTCTAATCTCTCTTGTGAAAGATTTGATATTTTTTTTTATGTAAAATATAATATTAATAACTATTTTTATAAAATAAAATAAATAGTATGTGTGTTTAAAAATATACTAAAAGATCTATGAATATAAATCTAATAAATATTATAATTAATAATGTTAAAGTAAATATGAATCTCCAATAATTTGAATAATAATTTAAATATATTCAACAAAAAATATCTTTATTGTGAGTGACAAAATTATTTTTTAAAATTAATTTTGAGATCACAAATTAAGATAGAATAATATATTTATTGATTTTAGAAATTATTTTTTAATTTATATATATAACAAAATAAAAATAACTATATACAATATAACCATTTTTATATGTTTAAATACAAAAATTAGATTTTTATGAAATATTTTATTATTACTTTATAATATTTATTTTCATTTTTATTGAAGTATATTTTATTTTAAAAATATTTTTAATTAAATTAGTAGTTAGAATATTATTTTTTTTATATATATAATAGTTTGTACAACGTTGCATATGATATTTTTTTATTAAAAATTGTAACATTTAATAATATCAATTTATTGAAGTTTAAAGTTTTTCAATATAATTTTTTATATAGAAATTAGTATTCTATACAATATTGTATAAGTTGAAAAAATTGTGTTTGCCTGTGTATTACTAACCTTCTTTCTTTTATTTTTTATTTAAAATTTTTTAAACTCTTTAACTAAAAAAGCGACTTAAAAATTCTTTTAGCGTCACATGAATTTTTTTATATTTTAAATTTATTTAATTCACTACTTTATTTTATTTGTATGTTTTTAACCTTTATTGTTTTTATTTTATTATTACATATTTTATATTTATTTTAATAATTAAATTGATAGTTTAGGTACTAAATAAATATTTTAAAATTACTAAGTGAATAGCAATATTTTTATTAAATGTAATCCTAACATAAATAAAAATTTAAAAATAAATATTTATAAACATATCATACATGTATAAAATATAATTTTAAAATTAAAGTGACAATAAATATACAAAAATATTCATAACCGTGTTTTATTATGAAGTGTTATCTAATATTCACATAAAAAATTAAGAAAGAAAAATTAAATTTAAAACATGTGCTTTAACTGAAGAAAAACGGACGAAACGTGAGGAAAATTTTTTATTTTAAATCTTTTTTCTTATGAAAATGTAAAGTTAAGAAGTGAAATAACATTATAAAATTTATAAAATTCTCTCTTTATTACATGAATAACAAGTTGACATCTTTTAAATATGTGTTTAAATTAAACTATTTTATATCTAGAAGAAATTAAATTAGATCAATATAAATAATTATACTGTCAAAAATTTTATGCAAAAAGTGATTTTTATTAATTTAATTATTAAATTATAACTATATATTGTCTCGATTATCCATACAAGTCTTTAGTTTATATATATTATATTAAATAATTTAGAATTGATTTAAATTTTTACAAACATAAGATAAACAACTTATTTTGGATTAAAACTTTTCAAAAAAATTATTAAACAATATTCGCAACGTATGTTTGAAAATTATTAAACATGATTTATTGATTCTCTTAAATAATTGAAAGAGTAATTTGAGGAAGAAAAAGTCTAGATAGAATGACTGTCTCTGTCCTTGTAGACATCAAAGCATGACGTTTGGAATGTTTGAAAGTGTGTGCAGTGTCTTTCAAAGATGGTTAGAATACTGTGGTTTGAAGGGTTCCCATGTTCTAATTTCTCAAATCTCACCTTCATCTCCATGGAAAGTGGAATTCAATTCCCATCTTGGAATTTTCTGCCAAACTTGTCTGTATTCTTTCTCACAACTTACTGCATTTTGTTGTTATCAATTTATTAATAAAATTAATTTCACGATTTCAATTTTCATGGCAATTAAAAAAAAGGCATACAAACAATGTTGATATAGAATCAATAATTGACTCCGTGCCCATTGGCTCGTGTAAAAACAAAGGAAGCGGAGACAAGTCAAATTGATTTGGTGAGTTCTTAGTCTCACGCGGCTCTCAACACTTCTCGAAGTCTCAAATCTCGGCAGCCTGCAACTAAGCTTTGCCACACTAATTTTGTTGACCTAACAAATTATACACACTTCAACTTTTTACACCACATTTTTCATTAGTCCAAGTTCAATTAGGCTTTTTGTAAACGCCACTTAGTTAACTCCCTTCATCATTAATATATTAATTATTATTTTAACGACTTTTATGGTAGTTAAGATAAAATCAAATAATATCAATTATATGTAATTGATAAACATAAGTGAACGAGATATTGCTAATTTATCAATTCATTAAGTAGAAGATAAACATAAGATACGATAAGGGATTTTAACCCATCATTAAAAGTAAAAACAGTCTGAATCTACGGATTATTCAAATTCTAACAGAACAATTCTACCCCGTATCACGCGTCTTATCCCTTCTTTTTCTCTATAAAAACAAGCCAAAAGGATTGGCCTTCTACTTCACAGTTCTTTCATTGGAAAGGAGAAAAAAGAAAGAAGAGAGAGAAATAATAGAAGAAATTAAGAGGGGGCGACCTGACCTCAAAGAACACATAGGTAGTGATGGCAAGGAACTTCAATGCTCTCGTTCTTGTGCTATTTGCCGTGGCCACCCTTCTCCACGGCTCATCAGCACAGACCAGACACGTGGTTGGCGAAGCAACGGGCTGGACCATCCCTGCTGGTGGAGCTGCACTCTACACCAATTGGGCTGCCAATAAAACCTTCGCCGTAGGCGACATTCTCGGTAATTCAAAAAACATCTTTAAATATTTGCAGTTGTTGGGTTTTGAATGTGCTTAAACATAGTGATTTGATGAATAATAACAATATGCAGTGTTCAATTTCGCTACTGGGCAACACGACGTTGCTGGAGTGACAAAATCAGCGTTTGACGCATGCAACGGTGGGAGCACCCTTTTCACCACTACCACGGGTCCAGCAACCGTGACGCTGAACCAGACAGGACAACATTATTACATTTGTACCTTCGGAACACACTGTTCCCTCGGTCAGAAACTAGCCATCAACGTTAGCAAAGCTTCCTCTGCCCCTGCCCCTCAACCCAGTGGAAGCGCCCCTGTCCCAACACCAACACCAACACCAACACCAACCCCAACCCCTACCAAAACACCCACACCAGCACCCGCTCCTGCTCCATCCACTGGACCAGTTACTTACACTGTTGGAGACACCTTGGGCTGGACTGTTCCTACTAACGGTGCTGCTGCTTACCGAACCTGGGCTCTTGGCAAAACCTTCAAGATTGGAGACATCCTAGGTAACTTTCCAAAAAACCAAACAACAATATTATTATTATTTTAAAAACACAAACTAATTAAAATTCATTGCTTTGTGTTATGCAGTGTTCAATTTTCCATTGAATGCACACAACGTGGAGGAAGTGACAAAGGGGAAATTCGATTCTTGCAACTCATCCTCTCCTATTGCTACTTATAGCAGTCCACCTGTGAGGGTAACTCTTAATAAGACTGGTTCACATTACTTCATATGTGGAATTCCTGGACACTGCTCTGCGGGTCAAAAGCTGGCCATCAACGTCACTTCCAGCGCCGCCGCCACTCCCCCCTCCTCCGGCGCTACCCCACCTTCTTCCGCCGCCACTCCGCCTTCCTCCTCTGCCACGCCACCTTCCTCCACAAATTCTCCCACCAATCCTGCTTCCCCTTCTCCGGCAAGTGCTGTCACCCCCCCACCACAGAACTCTAACGCTGTGTCTCTTGGAGCTTTCGGATTATTTGCCACCATTTTCTCAATTGCTGCCGCATTTTTCTGTTAGACACATGAGATTGAGACTGAGATTGTAGTTAGAATTGTTTTGAACTCGTCATTCATTTTCTTTCTATGGTGTTTCATGGATTCAGTATTTTTATTTTTATTTTATTTTTATTTTTGAGACATTTGACAATAAAGTTAGCTTTTCCTTCGTCGGCTTCTACAGTTTTTTATTTTTATTTCCTACCTGATGTGTCAAATTTGTAGGGTGGCTGTGTGAATAATATATTATGCTTATACATACTGTATTTCTTTGACAATTAACACCGTGGTGTTGTAGTTAAGTGCTTAGCTCGGGTAAAATTAAAAAGTACGATTTTTCAATTATTTTTTTTAAGCACTGTATGTTTGGAATTGGGGATAAGTATTAGTGCAGAGAACAAATTCGTAACGCCTCTCGCAGTCACAGTTGGTTTGATTGTGGAGAAATTGTGACGTTGTGGTTTGAAATAAGGATGAGGTTGATGACTTACTCTCTTTGAAAAATAATTTATTGATTTGAAAAGTAAGTGTTGGCAAAAGAATAGAAGGGGTGACTTTGGTGAGTCATGCATCTACCTTCTTCTTGGGGTTGTGGAGATCAACGATTTGCTAGTCTTGCCACTTGCAAATAAATAATTAGTCAACGTGAGTAAATGACATGGAAAGATCATTTTGTGGCCCTATCATCACATTACAATTTTGTTTATTGCCTCTTTATGCGTGTCTTCCTTGGGATGTTGTTGAGCTGAACTCCCAACATCTTCTTTTCATGGATGAGCATAAATTAGACTTAAATCGCCAATTTAATTAAGTTTTCGATATCTGCGTTTCGATTTGGGTATCCTATGCAGGACCAGTTTAACCAAAAGGCATGGCCATAATTATTTTCTTCACATATATTATGTAAAGATGCAGGTTTTTATAATAAAAAGAACAACTCTTTGAATCTTGTGTCACACCTAGTACAATGTATGTGTCAAAAGTTGGCTTAGTTGTAAATGTAAACTATAAGTATGATTTGTGCGAGTCTTAATTTATATAGTTTGTTGACATGTTGAGTCCCATACTATTAGGTTAACAAAAGATACTTAAGGTAAACATGTTTACTTTCTTATTTATTATTGAATCTTGCCTTCATTATTTGATGGGATTTACATAGCATAAATTATTGATAAATTCTACAGTACTATTAAAAATGAGAAAATATTCTATGCTATTATGTATATAGAATAATTATAACTGTTAATTTTCATAATAAAGTTAATGATATATTTTAAAAAAATATAAATATTTTTTAATATTTTAATATATTCTAAAAAAAGTATTTAACACACACTCAAATTTAGGAACACCGTGTCAAACATCTAAATTATTTCAATTATTAATTGTATAAGAAAAGAGACAGCAAAAATTATGAGAAAAAAGGAATGCATAAATAAGGTGTGAATATTTTTCTTTGAAACAGAGAAAAAAGAAGTTTGATTGTAAAGATCCCAGCAATCCTCCTGGAATTAATGCCTGGTAATTGATTCAATTGAAGAAGGAAGAATCTCCCTGTTTTCATTATGTTCGATTTTGATAATTAGTTGTAATTAGCGATATTTTACTCTCTAAATTTTATTATATACTTTTTAAGAAATATATATTTTTCGGAAAAATACTAATAATATATTGTTTATAGTATATTTTTCATTATAAAGTAAAATTAATTAAGACTTACAAAATATGGTAAGATTCATTAAAAAAAAAGGACTTCTATTATTTTGTAAATGTTAATAACTTTTATTCAATAACAAAAAAAATTGTTTAAATAATTTGTTAAAGAATGTATTATCAATATTATTCACTTACTTTAATGCTGGTGTTCATGATGAATACGATTAAGAACTCAGAACAAAAAGCATCAAATGAGAAGCTTCTATGTTCATACACAAGAACGAGGATACTTCTAGAGATGGTTCTGTTTACCATTTTTGTCAACGCGTTGTTGGTTTTGTATCTTTTTTGTAGTCAAAATGAAGCAGCTGTAAGTGGAATTAGGGCGAGTGTTTTTTCTTCTTTTTTTTTTCTAGAAAAGAAAATGTTTCTCTTATTTTATAAAAAAATAAATTCCAGAATATCTAAAATTAAAAATATAAAAAATACAGGATCATTTAAAAAGTGAAAAACTCCCTAGACAAAAGGGTCAAATTCTCTAAAACTAAAAGTTTATATCTTTTTTATAAAATTAATTTTTAAGAATATTTAAAATTTTAAGAGTGATTCAAAATATTTTTTTTATAGTTTTTTAATTTATAAATATTTTATTTGTCTTATATTAAATATGTAAATATAAATATAATTTAAATAATGTCTCTAATTTAATGTTAAATTTATCACCCTGCAATAATAAAATTTAAAGATTTTAAAAAAAGTTATCAATAAAAAATAATTATAAAAAATTAATAAATTAAAAATATCATATTTCTAATATTTAGTAGAAATATAATAATATGAATTATTAAAGATTTAATAAAAAATTTAAATATTAAAATATAATTATAAATATAAAAGATATACAAGAATGACTCTAACCTAATCTTGTCTTATGAGTATTCTCTTTTATGTTATGCAATCTAATGATTCTCATCTCTATTTGTAATGAAATTGATAAACTTTGTACCAAGTTCATTTAATAATCTTTAGTGGGAAGGAAATGTCATCTTATAGCTAAGAAGGACATTTGTAAACCTAAATCTTAAAGAAGTCTCGATTTAAAAAATTCGTATATTCTAAATTGATTTTATATTATGAAATTATATTAGAGAATAATTATTTTTTTCTCTAATTTATGAGCCCAAGTTGTTAGACAAAAATATAATTTTTTTCTTAAGAAACCTCCCTATATTAGGAATACTCATAAAAGTTCTTATTTATGGAATAGTATAACTTTTGTCTGGCCTAATTTCTCCTAGGCTTAGGATGGATAATTAGGGACAGGATGGCAACTAAATTCTAGCATCATGCTTAGATTCCTTAGGTTCCTATGTTGTCTAATTCTGCCTTATTCCATGTACCTTCCATAAAATTACACTTTCCTATTACTTTATTTGTTCATAAGGATGGTTGGGACTTTGATAAAATTATGTTTGAGCTTCCTCCCCATATTTGCCACTATATTTCTTAGATTAATCCCCCTGCTTAGTCTAGTGGAATAAATATATTCAATTTTTTTGACTTTAACTGTTAATGATATTTTCTCTATCAAGTCAGCCTACCATTTTTGCTCTAAACCTGCTTAAAGCCCTAAGAATAGCTAAAATAGTTTTCATTATGTTTACAAGTAACAAAGCCCTCCTAAAATTGCCTTTTTTTTTTTTGGAAACTGGCCCATGGTCAAGTTGTTTATCAATGAGGAAAGGTACATTTGAAATATGACTAACTTCTCCTTATGTTCTAAGTGTGGAGAGGCTCCTAAAACTATTATGCATATGCTTAGAGATTGTTTCTATACTAAGTAAGTCTAGGAGAATTTTGTTCTTCCTGATCATTAGGTCCAATTTTATAGCATGAGGCTTACAAACTAGTTGTTTTGAACTATGCTAATAATGAGTTTAGTAAATTTACTTATTGATATAACTTGTTTGGTATAATTACTTGGCATATGTGAAATGATGAAAATTCTTTTATTTTTTAAGCTTATTCTCTCCTCCATAACAACTTATTCATAAAATCTTATATGATTTTGATTTTTGGTTTAGCTGTTGCAAGAATAAAATCATACCTCTACCCAAAATTGCTAAGGATCCAACTAAAACCAAATGGCTTTTATCTTCCTCCTAACCAACTGAAGTTAAATGTTAATGGTGTTATGTCATACGATGAAGCTACCTGTGAAAGGTTAATTCGGGATAGTAATAGCAAATTCATTTATGGATTTTGCATTAATCTCTATGGTTGTCCCCCTCTTACTGCTAAGCTATGAGGCTTATATTGAGGTTTACATCTAGTTTCTATAAAAAATATTTATACATTTAGGTAGAAAGTGACTCTAATGAAGCTCTCGTTCTAATTCTCAATATTCAGCAACCTACTCACTTTCTGTTTGATCTGATTAATAACATTATAAATTTAATTAAATCCATTATATTATCTCACATCTTTAGAAAAGTCAACTCATGTGCCAATAGACTAACTAAGTTAAGCCTTGAAAGTTCTTCAACATTCTTTTATTTTGATATTGCTCCTATTGATTTGCTTCCTTTCCTTTGCCTTATGCTAGTGGAAGCTTGTTTAGTAGAGCTATTTTCTGGTTATTTTTTGGACTTCTAGTCCCATTGTATAGCAATATATATATAATTAACAAAAAATAATATAGTTATTTATTTTTTTGGTCAAAAAGATAGAGTAAGAGAATTGAAAATACTCACTTTGGAAAAAAAATATTATTAAACATGTCTTGCTAATAAATGTTGTGTTTGGATACATTGTGGGTTTGAAGAAAGGGAAGAAGAGGAAAAAAAATTGCACAAAAAATCTAATGTGATTTTATTTTGAGTAAAAGAAACATACTTACATGTTTTAAATAAAATTTAAATATTAATTCAAAGTATATTTAAGTAAAATTTTAAAATATCTTAATTTATTATAAATTTTCTTTTAAAATAAATATTTTAAACATGAATTATTTCAATTCAAATCACTTTTAAAAAATATATTCAGAAAATAAAAGTTATTGAAAGACAAATCAACTAATATTTAACCTAACATTAATCATGTGTTTTGTTTTTAGTTTAGAATCACAGAGTCACGATTTTGTCAAAAGTTTTAAAAAAATATATATTTGTTTTACTCAAATTAAAACTTTAATTTTTTCAACCAAAACTTAAACATAGTATATTTCCTTATTATGAATAAAAGAAATAACCTTTTGTTTATAGCACATCTTAATTTTAAATATAAACTTTTTCTTGATATGTGATTTATGATATATTTTTGTGTTATAAATTTGAAATTTTATTCCTAAAAGGTGAAATAATTTTGAGTAAATTATTTCTTGTATAGTCATACATGTTTTTCATTTTACAACACATCTCAAAACACATTTTTATCCTCTTCAATGTTTTTTTAATAAAAATATCCATTTTATTTAATTTATAAGCTAATATTTAATTTTTAATCAATATTCTAAATAATATTTACAAATTATCGATATTATTTTAATTAGCATTTCAAAATACTTATTATGTTTTTTTAGCATTTTAATTATAATTTTATTTTTTTCTTTGATATTTTACCTTTTTGGGTTTTGTTTTGATTTGCTCCTTTTAATCAAATTATTGATTTTAGTAACAATTTATAAAAAAAAATGTAACAAAATAAATTTAAAAAGTAAGAGTTTATAAATATAAAAATATGTCAAAATGACAAAAATAAAAATAAAAAAAGCTAAAATAAAACACGAAGAACTAAAAGATAAAATCAAAGTAAAAAACGAAGTTAGAGTATCAAAATATCAATTCTATCCATACATTTTAATAAACGGGAGCACTGTAGCAACGTGCTGCGATTCCTTTTATTATTATTATTATTATTCCCATCATGCTCTTCCTTTTTTAAGTTAATCCCACTATACTGTTTTGATTTTAATTATTTTGGTCCATTAGGGTCTTTGAATAACTCACATGCACTTTGGAGACGCGACTAATTAAATTAAATCATAATAAAAGCTCATTATTTTGTTAAAGAAAAACGAAGCAGAATAATTGGAATAGTATAATGCACAGAAGCAAGGCATGTGAAGCCAAAATTTTGTGCTAGATTTTATCGGTGTGAACCCTAAACGTGTTTTATTCTTCCCTTAAACGTAATTATTAATTTATAATTTTTAGTGTATGCGTTCGTCAACGGCGACTCGGTGACCCAAATTCTGAGCTTTTGGGGCGGTGGGGGGCACACGGCACCGAGGCCCATTTCAGAGATTAATTTAAGAATAATCATATGTTTGACAAAATAAAATTAATCACGTGTTGACACTCTGAACAAGAAAAAAAAAACTATTAACACTATTTTTTTTATGTTAAATGGATGAAGAAATAAAAAATAATAATATAATGAATAAAGTGATAAGAATATATATATATATATATAATTTTATTATTTTTCAGATGAAAGTTTACAACGAGGGAAATACATTAATCAAAGTCTAGAAAAAGTAAAAGGTGATAATGCATATGTAACCCCTCCATATAATAATAATCTTATAATCTGACAAAAGTCGTGTTGCCATTTGACTAACTTTAGGAGACTCCAAATCCTCCATTACTATTTTTTATTAATATAATTTATTATGTAAAGAAAGTTTTGAATGTTTTATTCACAATATTGAATGTATTTAGTTTTTTATTTCATGTATTTTTTAAGAAAAAAATATAAAGATTTTATACGAAAACAAAGCAATATTCTTCAAAAAAATAAATAAATAATTGCACTATTTAATTTAATATATAATCACAAAATCTTTACCTGGCTGAACCTCCATGTCTTAAAATGTAGATATTTATACCAACTAATCGGCATGAAGTAAAATAGAAGAGATTACTGTGTGTGTTTTTTAACCAGCAGGAATCATTTCAGGGTTAAGTATAACGAGTCTTGCTCGACCTTGACATAACAAACACTGAGAAAATCAAAATTTAAGAGCCCCAAAAAATGATAATTAGGATAAACTATATTTACACTCCTTCAGATTTCATAAATTTCACTTAATTTTTAAAATTTTATAATTCATATAATTATATAATAAATCAAATGGATTGGCCCATTCAAGTGGGTCTGTATGGGGTGGCAGATTTTAGCAAAAATAAATAAATTTAATTCAAATTCTCAAAAACCTGAACTTAATTTGCCGTAATATCAAACAGGTTCAAATTAATCCGGTTGAATAGGCCATTTTGCAAACTTTATCAAAGAAAGGAGAAGGATTATCGCATATATTTTCATATAAAAAAATACTATGCTAGTCATCCCTCCCCATAGTAACATTTTAAATGCAGGAGGTACATTATATATTCTGTTTTTACTTTATATTAATGTTATTGTGAAACTTTGTGAAATAATATACGATTAATATTAATTTTAATTAATTCTCTAGAATCTCTAGAAAATTTAGTCTAGATCCCGCCAATGAACTCAACCTTTAGTCTAAGAATAATTTTATAAATAAATTAAACTCAAATTGTATACGCTTAACACTATATAAATATATAGTAATATAAAAAAAAAGTTGAATTTACACACACACACAAACTTAACTAAATGTAATTTTATGTTAAAAAAAATATTATAATGTTTTTTTTTTCAAATGTTCTTCTATTTCATTTCTCATCTCTTATATCTCATCCTATAATATAAACAAACAAAGTTATAAATGAACTATTAGCCAAAAAAAAAGTTATTAATGAACTAAATAAGTTAAATTCATTTTTATATAATATAAAATTATAAAATAGTTTACTTTTTTTACAAAATTTAATATTTTATAATTATTATGAAAGATTTTTTTACTCATTTAAACATATAAAAATAATTGGTTTTGTTAATTTTTTTTCTATTTATTCAAATAATGCATATTTTTTTCTCTTCTAATTCTTTTCCAATATATTTCACCTTTTATCCCAACATTGTTAATGTGCATGACTTTGTTTTTCGGTCTAGAACGTGCATGACTAGAATTAGGTGTATGCGCCTTAAGGTTGCAGGCAGGCCCATAAATAGCTCGAATGGGTTCGTATAATGTAACTTCTTTTAATTTGTTTAAATTGTGTGTTAAACAAGATGTCTGCAAACCAATATATATATATATATATATATATTTGTTAAATGAATTGTTCTACTAACCTGCGGGTCAAAGTAGATAGTATATTAGTATATACTAATAAAAATTATTCAAATAATAAACAATTCGATATCGTTTAAACATAAATTTAAATTTAAATTTTTGTATATGTAAAAAAATTTTAGTGATAAATTCACTCATCACATCCAATTCAAAGCATAACTGAATTGAATCTGAATTAAATTAGATGAAAAATAATAATAATAAAGTAGGTGGTATACAACAATTTCATGGGTTTGTTTATTTGGAGAGCCAATCCAATTCAACCTATTTTATGGTCAATCTATCCATGGACCAGTTTTTATAGATGGAATCAGTGCATATACCCACCTAAAGGCATGACAAGTAAAACCATAAAACTATTGAAGTGCTCATTATACCAATAAAAGCGTACACCTTTAGATATATTTTTATATTTAGAAGGTGCCCTAAACTCAGTCAAAAACATTTTTTTTTTAAAAAATTATTAATTAATAGATATTTTTAATATCTAACTGTGAAGTTCTTAGGCTTCCTCTTTTAACAGCACTACAAAACAAATTAAACAATTGAGTTATATTAGTTATAAACAAAATAGATAGTTTTACTTCCCTTCTATCTATCCCTATCTCATTAATCTATTTATCTTGATGATTAAGAAAAGTATTTATTTAATTAAAAATTTGATTACAGTTCATCTTGATAAAGTTAAATTTAAATCATTACACATAATTATAATTATAATACTTATAAATTCATATGAAATTACATATTTGTATAAAAACGATATCTTTTATTTAAAAGTATGAAAAATATTCAATTGTAAAATAATCAAGTCCTGAGTCTCCTGATAAATTTCAGTGAAGAAATCGGTGCAGAGAAGACTAAGCGGAAGATGGATGTGTCCCGATCTATTATGAAGGTGGCAGGTTACATCGACGCTCAGGGAACAAGATCCATCGATATTACTTTGGTTGATGTAAATTGTCGTATATGCTCGGTTTTGAGGGTGACTAATGATGACAAGCTCATTAAGCAGCATATAGCAATCAATGCCAGCGCCAGAACAGGTAATACCAGTTCGCACAACAATTCATACACTCATGCTGCATGATGTTGACAATACCAAATGCCCTGTTACCACCCTCTGCAATTAAAACCTAACTGCAGAGAGATCTCAATAATCATAAAAATAAATTGTTGGATTTAAACAGCATGTTCCTTCAATTAAAAATTCCAAATCTAGAATTTCTTGTTCCACCAAATGCTTATGGTTAAAGTTCCACCAGAGGATAAATGATTGCATTATTTATCACGTAATGGATTATAATTATATAGATGGAAGAACACTAATTTTATAATATAAAGACCAACACAATAAATTATACTTTATTAATTATATTTGATAAAAAAAAATTATCTTTTCCTTTAATATGAAAAGTTACAGATTTTTCTTCAACTTCTATATCTCTTTAGTCTTCTCTCTAGTCAATCAAATTCACAACCATACATTACAACTGATTCGGAGCAATTGATCAATCTGTTCTATAATTGATCAATTTTAGGGAAATTTGTCACGCTATTGGACACGTGCGAAAACACAACTATCACTAGTGCATTTTAGTGATCCCACATGTCAAATAATGATTTGAATGAATACCTATGATAAATTACAACACCTAATGTTCATACCTAATATTCATCCCATAGACAACTCAAGCACTCGTAATAACTAGCAAGAGTGATATTTTTTTAGTTTTGAGGTAGACTACTGGGGACTTAGATGCCCAATTCCCAAGTGTTAGGAGGAACGGCCCTGTCTTAACTCTTAAATCAGCCCCGGGCATGGCAGAAAATATTTGTTGTTCATCCTAAAAGAGACATCTCAAAGCTCGTTATGCTTTGAACAATGCCGTGAAACTACAATGAACTTGAACAGATAGACTTGAAACTGATTTCCTGTCCACGTCCAAGTATGGTGGCTGCTAATGTGGTCCACGGATCAGACAAATTTTCAAGATCCTGATAAATCTTTAGGCAAGTAATTGCATTTCAAAAATGATCCTCACAGCAGTAAAAAACACTTTATGTTGAAGCGTATTGTCTACTGTGGGCAACAACATCCACCTGGGAATTTCTCATTTGATCTCTCCACAAGTAGTTAAAGCTTATTTTGAGACTGGTTAAACCCTAATCCCTTCATTTGCTGCTAATGTCCTAGGGTCCAAGCGGATAATCGGAACAATCATCCCTCCACATTTTGAGGAGGCCTAGAAAATCATAAATTTAACCCCTGCACAACATTCTCCTGTCTTCCCAGATGAGGGGTGTGTACACGGGGGGATAGGTTCTGAGGTATCTCTGTCAATCTGACCCAAAATTTTGATACGATCATTTCTATGTTATATCAATCTTAATATTATGTATGACTAAATCAAAATTAATAAAGTACAAAATTAAAATATATTTTACGGTATATATTTTAACGTGAACAATGATATCATGATACGGAGAATATTATAGTATCAAATTTTCAAATCTCATAACCAATACATAAAATCTTGAAAAAATAGCACAAGTTCTAAAAGAAAAAGGATGTCAGGTCATGTTGGGACAACCCGAACCCGTGAAAGTTATCATCGGACCAGAATAGATTGGTGGGACGAGTTGGATCAAGCAAAACCATATTCTCGCATCTAACTTGTTTAATTTCTTCTGCTTCATACTTGATTAGTAATTTTGATGAGGAAAGTTTGTTCTGTAGTTATTTGCACTACAGGCTAATAAAAAAAAGCACCCTGTGGGCTCGATAATTTGCAAATTTTAATACTGCTGAAAGACAGAAGCCAATAGACCAAGGTTTAGGAAGCTAATCATGTCTGAGAAAACAGATTCCAGTTAGCAGATTAAAGTCTTAGCCACAATGAATCAGGCTAGGCTCAGATAGTAAGTTATACATCTGTCATATTTTGATCATGCATCAATTTTAAATTAGACCACTATTTAAATTTTTACTAAGGATATGACCCCTTTTAAGACACTCCATTTCTAAAGTTTACACTTCATTCAGAGCCAAGCAGAGATTAAACAAAAACGAGCTAAGATTTTATATACAGTTCACATTTGCAGCAATGCAGTTAGTAACTCAATGCCGGCTTCTAAAATTTTTCACAAGCAGAGCTACACATAAAGAGAGAGTCTACATAAAAGGATTAAACAACATTTTCGATCATCTTGAATTGCAAGTGCACATATGATACAACAGGAAAGACTATCTACGAACCTGGCCTACCAGTAAAACGATTGGATGGGACCCCTAGATGCCGGCAAAATTGCCCATCCTCCTTGTGGCTACCTAAAGGTGCTTTGCGCTTCCTCCGAAGTGATGCCTCCAAGTTCTGATCTTCACCCTCTACATTACATTTAATAGAAGCGGTGTCAATGGTACCATAACCTGTCTCCCTGGGGTAAAAACAGAACCCTTTATTTTTCTGCAAAGAAAGATGACTAGACTTGCTGCCCTCCTGAGAGACCCTTAAACCAAAATCATCAATTTCATATGCTGAACCACTTTTACTGCTGGAACACGGATGCAAACATTGGCCCAACCTCAAAATTAAATCACATTCCCCATCTGGTGACTCTTCCTGAGTGCTCATGGCAGCTTCTTTGGCAATTCTGTTTGCAACATGATGGAATCTACCACAGGAGAAATTTTCCAATAGACCAGTTCCAGATGGCTCTGGGACTGGAATGACTGGTCTGCCAACAAAGATTGTATCAGAACACGTGTTATCTAGTGCAGTGGTCCTTGGTCGAGGTTCTCTGGTTTCATTACCGTAGTACAAGGGGTAAACTGTACCCATGTTCAATGAGGGTCTAGCTTCCATTTTCAAAGGCTGGTGATGACCAGAAGGAAAACTTTCGGAAAAGGGGTAGTTAGAGGAACCCATCAGCTTGCTATTATGGTGCATATGCTGGTTAGCATCCGATACATGTATTTGTGAAACAGCAGAAGTTGTGACTTTGGCATAGTTTAAAGAACTCCCACCAACAGGTTTAGGAGGCACAGAAGGAGATTGTTGGGTTCTAGGGGCAAGGTAAGTCCTGGGGTTAGTGTGCCGATCACTTCTGGAAGTTCTCAGAGGTTTGCAGCCCAAGTTAAGTGCAGCTGATCAGCATAAATGAATGAACCCAGTAAACCAAAAGCAAGAACAAATCACTGGGAGCTCAAAATTACTAAGCTTTACCTTACACTCTACACTAATATTCCAAAATGACAAATCAAAATTGAATTTTGACAGAAGCTCTAGAAAATGGATCCATAGAAGATGAAAAATATAGTACCTTCAACACATGGGGGCAAGAGGACTCCTGTCTCGGTTGTCTCGTCTCTCCGAATGATTGTATTAACGGCATCATTGAGGCGGTCCCAGAGTGTATCAGGATTCAAGTACTCTGCCTAAGCAACCAAATCACAAAAAATTTAGTAAAAGGGGTTTTAAGCAATAAAGTGAAAGATCTAAGAATCCACATTCCACAAGCATTTGTAAAACAAGAAACACCTCGGAATTTGCCTTGGAGTACATGATTTCTTCGGCCCTGAGAACAACAACGGGAAGCTTCTCTTGCCATTCCTTGTTCTTCTTAGTTGCCGGACTATGAGTGTCATTGACGAGCCTAATCAAACAGATGGCGTGCAACAAAGTCAACAGAATGCAAAAGCACGAGAAACGACGACAGAAAAGAAAAAGGTAGAAGGAGATGAACCCAGAACCTGAAAATTCGTTGAATGATGGAACCTCTCACAGGTTGGTGACGCTCGCTGTGCCAAGCTCTCTTCACACACTCGTAAGGCCTTGGCCCTGGGCGTGGCATCTTGGAGTTGGAAGTGTTAAACCGCCCAAGACACACTCTCTCTCTCTCTCTCTCTCTCTTACTCACACACGCAAAAACACTGACACACAACACACGAGAACAATATGGGAAGAAGAAATGGACAGAAATAATTGAGTGGTGTGTCTGTCTGTTGGGAGGAGTTCACATACTATATACACAGTGGCAGTGCTCACACTCTACATGAGTTTGGGTTATGTTTGTTTGATGGGTCAATTGCCTCACTTGTCTCGCTGTTGCCATTCTTCTCATCCCACAATTTGTAATGGGACGGTTTTGTTTGGGGTAGTAGTAGCGAAAGAAGGGGTAGCTTTCTTTCTCATTCTTTTATCTTCCCCAATAATTTAGAGAGTTTACCATTACCATGGTCTTTTGGTCGTTTGATGTTAGTGTTCAATCTTTTCCTTTCTCTAGGGTGGGGTCTGGTCACACCTCTTGAGAAAAGGAGAGTGGGAGAGTTAGGTTACTATCAAAAAGTACCTGTATAATAAAGTCCATTAATATTCTTCTCTTCCCTTCTTCACCCTTATTTAATATTGGGTTGTTACGTGCATTATCTATCCCGTATCTATTTTACATAATTTACATCCATCGCCAATGCAAGCATATTCGTACACATAACCTTCAACCAGCATGAACACTGCAAGGAAAATGACTTAAGCATAACTAATATCAACTTCGTTATAAAGTAACACAAGAGAATCCGGTTTCATCAGTTTCCCCCCTCCCCTTGCTATTATTCTTCCTTAATAAAGCTACTCAGATTCTCTTTTGTTAAAAATAAATAATTTAATCCTTTCTCGAATTCTTTTCAGTTTTCACCCTATGGTTAAATTTTGTTTCATAGTGATGCTTTTATTCTGCGGACAACATTGTTGTTTCAATCGTGCTAGACTCTTGTGCCACCTAAAATGTGCACATGGGGTCCTGTGAAATTGTCATTGGTAGGTCAAGTTTGAAGAAATTAATGTCTATGACTGTGTCTATGGGCTATTTGACGATGAAGTGGTGTCACTGAATAATGAGGATGACCCGTGTCTACTGTCTAGAAGAGCATTTAGGAAATTTATTTATTTATTGTGATATTTATGAAGATACGCATTGAATGTGCAGTGAACACATTGATGGGTAAACGGGTACATTCTGCACCCTCAGCGCTGTAAATAACCCCTTTATGTGCTGAAAACAGCCTTTGGCATAACACTGACGCTGTATGGGCCTTCCCCACTCCCTCATGTCACGTCCACTCTTGACAACGCCTGTACAAAGCCAAACTCCTTTTTCAGTTTTTATGTAAGCCTCGAGCATCCCACTTCCAACTTCTATCTTTTCTCTATGGGTACAGTACTTGAAAATAAAGCTTAATGTATCAACACCCGTGTAATCCCCTCGCCTCACAATTCCTGTTTCTACTTGGTACTTCATCTTATTATTAAATCTTCGAAGTACACATTTCAATTTATATTACTCCATAAAGATTATCAAATAAAATACATGGGAAAGATCTCGATGGGGATGAGGATCGTCCACCCACAACAATCATAAGTCGGTTTCCCTCAAGTGTTAGGAAATTATTTCATTGCTTAATGTGTGTGCCACGTTTTCTAAGCCATTGTGTGTCAAGATTTTGCTCGCTATGCGTTTGTTTCAGCTTTAAGCTATTAATAAATGCTGATTTTTACCGCAAGAGTGATCAGGACCACAACATTCAAGCTAGCATTCTGAGCATATACACATAAATTATATATTCTTTTATTTTACCATATTATCAGCCACCCACTACCACTACTATATTAGCAATAAATAATTGAGAGGTACCAATTGAAAGGGATACGATAGTCTCTGGCTAATCAGTATCCACACAGCTTTACTTCAGCCCAATTCTACACAACGATGTATGATATTTTCCTTGTATTTATTAATTAATTAATATGTTGGGTGATTTTATTTGGGCACGATGAGAGCAGATGTAACAGATGCATCATGCATGTCATATCAGTCATGGTGTGGGTAGTAGGGATTGTACCAACTTTTGTTGCCTTTCAATTCATTTTGAGGCATTTATGGCTGGGGTATAAGCAAAATACTACCAAGGCTAAAGACAAATGTGGCTAGGAAAGCAACTTCCCACACTCTCTGCACCATCACTTGACTCCATGCGGAGTAAGGGCAAGATTCTCAACCCAACTTCGGCTAATCAGCTTTTTTATTTCGTGAATGGACTGGAATTTTTATTTCTATTTTCGTGAAAAATAAATTTGGGAAACGATGTTATCAATTAAGGTATACGAGATTCTCTCAAAAATAAACCCATCAAAATCATGCTACTTGCAAATTGCAACACACACCAAGTATGTTGAAAGCATTATATATCACATATTATGGTGGCTTCTCGTTGTAAATGTTTAAAATTGTGAAAAGATTGTGTTGATGATATAAGGGTAAGTGATAGTGAGCAGTAAAATAACCTTTTTCTTGTCAATATTACGTTAACCTCGATTTCGGTACTGCGTTTCACTCCAAAGATTTATTATGGTGTTTGGGTTCTCGTTTGTGGTCTAAAAATTTTGATTTCTACAAAAAAAAAAAAATTATAAGAGAATATTTTTTGCCTAAATTATGGTTTAATAATTTTCAAATGAGAATGTTAAAGGCACATTTTCTTGCCCTTTGTGTAACTGTCAATAATTTTGTCCACGTCTTATTCTACAAGTATTCCCTATTATTATTTGTCAATTGTGTGCACAATCCGCCTACAAGCATCAACAGCTTCATTCTCCTTCTGAGTCCCACTACCAAGGCTATTCGTTTTCTTGTGTCCCACTATCGACACTTTCGTTTACATTAGGTCCCAAATTTATTAATAAAAATTTACTATTTTTATTCATTTAAATTTTTAAAAATGAAATTAATATTATTTTTACCACGAGCGTGATGTTTAGTTACGGTCTTGTTCCAAAACTTGCAGTCTCATCTCCGACGTACGGAGTTTGGGGCGGTAACTCGTTGCGTTCCAATGCCCCGCGTGTGGTAGCTATTCACGTGCAGCACTGTGCACTGCTTCTACATCATTCTCATTTTAGAACCATTATTCATCCACATGGTTCTCTACGTCAAGTGCCATCTCAAGTCGATTTTATTTAGCATAGGTGCCCATTTCCAACACATCATGAGTCGTGACTATCCCAAACAGCTCATACTTTAACACATTACCGGCAAATTTTATGATTGAGGCCGCATGATACACGCATTAAATGAGTGTGTGTAATATTTCGTTTTCAATTACAGCTTCGCATCAATTTTGTACCACGGTCCTTAATGAATCTGTAAAGCTTGATTTCAAGTATATTCACAAGCTGTTGTAGATAGTGTACCATAAATTAAGTGTGTAACTTGTTTTTATTGGAGTGATATGAGTAATAAAATCAATGATGGAGTGGTAGAGCACACGACATAGGTAAAGCAGAAATCCTAAACCCCACATTTGGTCCGTACCATCCACAAAACAGGAAACACACGCGACGTTACACGGAGAATGGACAAAGATAACTGTTAATCCGAATGCCTCCACTGCCACCTCATTGCAGATAGACGTGGATAGCCACCTCACATGCACACAGTTATAATCTTACACGATTTGAAGTTTGAGTGAGTGGTAATAAGTTTCAATTTCAACTGTCCTTATTTTGTATAATTAATTTTACTTGAACCTTGATTTAAAGTTATGTAAGTTTGTAATTAAATTAAGTATAAATTTTTCAATTTGATGAAAAAAATAATTTATCACATTGTTTTAAACATAAATTTAAAAGGTTAAATTGATTACCTTCAAGAGTAACCAAACGTTCTTTATATATATATATATATAGAATCTGAGTTAAAACAAACTAAGATTGCGTCAGAAGTTGATGTTAAACCAAACATACCCATGTATAATCTAATCTTTGAAAGTAGCACGATTGTTTGCCTTAGTCCTTGAAATGTAATTATGTATGATTTAATCTCCAGATGTGGAAAGTTGCTTACAATTAGTCCTTCTATCAAAAGTTGTTACGAAGAATGGACTTTGTTAATGACACGTCTCGACAACTACACTTGGTTTTGTTCAAAAAAATGTTAAAGTTCTGTTGATTTACGATAAATGGTTGAAAAGTGAATTTCTTACTGTATTTAAAACTAAAACCATTCTTTTAATATTTTACCATGACTTCTTAGAGTTGGAGTATGTTTATTTTTCATTTTCAAAACAGTTTTTTGTTTTTTAAATGAAAAACAAACGTGATCATAGTCTTTCCTGTTTTGTTTCATTAGGTGAAAATAATAATCTTTTTATACTTTTTATATAAAAACATTTGTCTGTTCTCAAATCACCATGGTTCCAACTAGTAAAAAACAAGATACTTGTGTATATTTTTTTTAAGTTGGCATGTATTAAGATGTGAATGGCTAGGACTATTCAAAATTTTCTCCTAAATTAGCTCTTCAATGTGAGTTATTTCTCCAAAATTTACACCTTCACAAAAAAAAATATATGGTGATCCTATTGTGCTTTTATTATCATTAAATTAATTAATGGTCCCTTACTTTGTTCTCTATACAATAAATGAACAATTAATGAATAATTGTTTAATATTTTTTCTTATAATATATATAATTTATATATTGTTGTAAGATTATAGTGTGGTCTCAATACACTGTTTCACAAATCCCAAAATTACAAGAGTGAGTTTGTAAATTTTATAAAGTACACAAAAAATACAGATGTTAAACTTGCAAGATGAACTAAATGAAAGTAAAAAGTATTTTTATGGAGCAATGAATATGTTTATATCTTTCAACATGTCTGTGACTGATTCAATCTTCAAGATGCAAGTTACACCTGAAGACAATAGTTGTTTCCTTTAAAAAACATATAACACTCATAATAAAGTAAGACATGCTTGAAAACTTTTCAAGCTAAATATTGATAGTAAGTTTCTGTTTGTTATAATGTTTTTTCAATTTCACTTAGATGTTATTCATTTGCTTAGACATACAAAAAAAAAAATCTATTTGAGTATGTTTTCACTTTTCTATGCATTGTAATATTTGTAAAGTAGAAAGTTGTGTGTTTTGTCCTTAATATTTATTTTAAGCTCTAGATTTGTAAACTTGTAAAAAAATCTCTTCAGAAAGTGTATTATTTGTATTCCCTCTTCTTCTTTTCTACTCTTTAAAAAATGCCATGAACTTAGTGAAGTGCAAAACTTGAAAATGGAGGATTCAACTTTCTAAGTTCCTCCCCTATATATATATATATACTTCATTGTAGCACAACAATCATTAATTGCGACTAGAGTTCACATTATTCTATTTTTCATCATTTAATGGTGCAGAACAACGTATATTTATTGACAAAAAATGCAACAATATTTTTATCTTATCACAAATTTAGCTTCTATCATCAATTGACAAAATAATACTTCATGGTTTAATTTTGTCATCAATTGACAAATTTTCCGCTCCATGTTCTTAGCTTTCTAAAAGATTTAAGTCGTCCAAGCTATACAACATTACCACTTTCAACACTTTTATTTTTATGAGTCTTTTTTTTTTCCTTTTCATAAAGTGTTTTAACTCTCTGTCATAATTCACTAATTTTTTTTTTACTTTTAATTATTTATTGTGTATCTAAAAAGTAAAAAGTATGAGTGAAAATTTTATTTAAAGCTTACGTTAAAATAACTATTTTTGTGCATGTATTTTGGACCCATTATGTACAATTGTTTTAAATGGTATATTTTGTGAATTTATATATGTATTGCAATGCTATTATGCTATTGTTTATATAACAAAAGTGACATATGACAGTGGAGAAGGAAGTATTTTTATGCAAGATCAGAAGATTAACATATTGAAGGTAAAACAAACTATTGCGCAATACGTCATATTTAGTTCCAATAACGACAATAATAATTACTGTCTCAAAATAACAATTGAGTGTTGATAGTTTTGATGACAAGAAAGAGACGTTTAAAAATGTTAATCTTTTCTAATTCAATGAGAAGGCACTATTTTATGATGTTTGTTTGAAGTTACCTTTAATATTTCTTAAATTTAAAATTTTTAAGGTTACTGCGAAGAATTAAAATATGAACTTCGTTATAGAAAACACATTTTTAATAATTTGATTTCACATACAAGTTTGCAAAATATGAAGAAAAACACATGCTAAAATTACAAATCGGGAAGAAAATTACAACTTTATTTATATAAGAATATAACTTTAAGTTCATGTAAAACAAATTGTGACCCTGTGCATAGTTGACAAGCGCCCGTAGGTAATTTCATCCATCATCTGCTATAGTCATAATAAAAAAAGGCCAAATTGTGAGCAACTTTACAGTTCAAAAACCAAATTATATACAATAATACTTTTAGGGACCAAGCTATATATTTTTTTCTCGTTGAATTATGTAACTTCTTCTTCATTAACTGTGCTTTTTTTTCAAACTATTCTCTATTTAGCTTAAATATTTTATATTCAAATCAACAAAACTATATCCAACATAATCGTCTTGAATAAGAAACGCTAATTAGTAGTCAAGATTGACACATTTTCCTATAAAATAATCATTAGACCATAGTATGTATACACCTCTAGCAAACCAAGTCAAATTCTCAAGACAATAATATTTAACGAGAAGAGTTCACCAATGGAATACCCAGAATCATCTGTTCAACCCCATACCTCTAACAGAGTGATTTCACGTGGTTATAAGAATAACACAGCCATTACAGGGTCTGCACTGCGAGCAACTGAACATGAAGGTGGTTCACTGCATGACGTTGGTAGAATGGACCATTGCCCACCCATAACTAGCTAACACCTATAAATGGTAGAGGGCAAACATTTTTCACGTATTGTACTCAACTTCTTGGTATATGTACTAAAAGTTACGTTGACTTAAGCATTTTATTTACAATAACATCCTTTTTCATTGACACCAACATAAAAAACTCCTATAAAAACCACATTCAATAAATGAACCACCATGCATCTCAAAACAATATAGTAACTTAATTGATTCAAAAGCTCAACCCAAAGAAAATACAACTTTAAAGTTGATTAATATCTTTAAATTTAAACATACCTGTCAAACTAACAAACATTCAAATGATTTATTTGTATATTTTAATCATATCTTATAAAATAGAATATTAATTGTCATTATTTAATAACGATGATATATATTGTTTTGTACATTTTTTTAAAAAATTTATAAGATATGCGTGCAACGTGCTAAAGACTAAAAGCTATTGCTATTTTATAATGCTAAAAGTTGAGTTCATTGTTTATTTGTTTTTAGTTATAAATGTTAAATAGCTAAACCACCTCTATTTCAGATTTAATTTTCATTTGATTTCTGTATCAAAAATAGTTTTCTGTCTTTTGACAAGGTTTAGAAAAAAAACAACTTCCAACCGTTTCACCCTTTTCTTTCACTTTCTTATTTTTTATGAGTCTTTCAAGTTTTATTGTTTTATATGTAAAATTTAAAAATTACATATACTAAACTATGATATATTTTAAAAACTTATAAATATGTGAAGTTCAAAATTATTAATGACAAATTCTTGTGTAAGTGCTGGTAAAACAGTAAGAAATTACATATTCAAAAAATTGTCAATAGAATTTAAAAAAAAAATATTCAAAAGTCAAAACTCGTCACAAATTTTTTTTAAGAAATTATAAATAAAAAATTGACGGTAACAACTTTTAAAAAAATTAAAGTGCCAAAAAATCACCATTAAAAATTTTGAAAAAATTTAATATTTTTTGTGGCCACAGTTGGGAGCACTACTAAATTTTGACCATTTATTAAAAGAATAAAATTTAAGTGCAAATATTCAAATATAATTTTGTTGTTTTTTTAAAACCAATGTTTTATTTTATTAATTTACAGTAATATTAAACATTGACTTCTTATAAAGACAATCTCAATCTTAATTTAAAATTATCATAAAAATATTTTAAAAAAATGCATATAAATTTTATCCTTATTACATTTGGATAAAAGCTAGTTGTAACAAATTTCCCATTCGACGGTTTTGTACTGTTTCAAAATTTTTTAGTCGCCTAACTTCGGGTATAGAAGGAATCGATCAAGAAACATGTTAGATATCTCCTTCATTCCCATGTATATGTACTCGGGTATGGCTTAAAAAATTATGCTTTTTATTTGTTCTTTTCACTCAAAAGTAGAAAAAACAATAAACAATTATAAGTCGGTGTCTTTCTCCTTATAGGATGAAGCCTAGCGTAAATGCTTTAATTCGTTAGCATAATAGAAAAGTTGCATGTAGTGGTTTGTTATATAGTTAATTCATTAACTTGTTATTATATAACTTGTTCATTCTTCTCACTAGACGACTCACTTTGACAAGTGGTTTGTTATATCTATTGGCTATTATTAATAGTTTGCTAAAATCTTTCATGGATATTAACTTTTGAGTAAAAACTAATTAAATTTAAATTATCAACTTCAAGAGTATTTTTCTTACTCTCTTTTTTCTTTCAAGGATATGTTTAAAATGTGTCAAATTTACCATTTTGATTTAGCCTTATGCATTTCACAAAGAGTAAGCACTTGTCATAACATAATTTTTTTTTCTTTGTGGGTGAAAATGACGTCTTAACTTGGAAAGAAGTGTAAAATTTCATTATTTAAAATTTCATTATTTAATTATTTTTAAATATTATTAACCTGTAAAAATTTCAAAATATAAAATAAAATTGTTTTAAAATACTACAATAAAAATAAAAATTAGATTAATTTTAATTTTATAATTAACTTTAATATAATTCCATTAATTTTAGATTCATCTGAAAAACTAAAATAATTTTTTATTTTTATTTTAACTCGTTCAGTTATTATTATTTTTAGTTTTCTTTCATTCTTTCTCCCTGTCTTACTTGGCATTGTCTGAACCTAAAGCTCGGCGGGCCAACAGTCAAGAAGACTGCGTGAGCATGCACCCCTCCTCAAAACGTAAGTATGAACTTTGAAATTTTCAGAAGCCTAATCAGCAAATTTTGAAAGTTTGATGATACTTTACTCCTCTCATTTAAAAAAGATTATTAATTTTTTAAATTTCCACAGCCACGCCATGGAAAATCAAATTGAGGCAACTTTACTTAATAATAAAACTATCATTTAATAATAAAAATAAGTTATTTATATTTTTAAATCTTATACTTTAACTTAAGTATGATTTTGGTACACTTAATTTAGTGGTTGATTTTTTTTCATTTATTTAAATTATTTTTTATTTCAAAATTCCGTTTAATACGTATAGAAACTAAAAAAATATAATTTATTGTTAATTTACACAGACTTGCAATATGTACATACTTTAAATAAAAGACATATAAAATAAATGTCACATTTTAATTTTCATTTAGTTATTTTATATATTATTAATATGTTATTATTATATTTTTACTAAACATCAAATAAAAATTAAGGTGAAAATTTTAATTTTGATAATTAAAAAATTCAGTAAAAGCAATTAAACTAAAAAAATAGCTTTTAAAAAAGGATATTTGTGAATTAAAATAAATTTAAAAATAATTTATATACAGATTAAATACAATAATTATGTAATCAATCTAAAAGCTGTACAGTTTAATCTAAATTGTATCATTAAGAGAAATGTTTTATTTTTTATCATTTGGAAGAGATATGTTAGGTATTTTATTTTTATATATAAGATAAAGCAATTATATATAATATTAATAAAATTGAGTTGTTTAATCAACGAAAAATAATAACGTATTAGAAGAAATGTAATGTGATGGAAGGAAATGCATAGACTCAAAAACATATTCATTTGCAGGAGCCAACCCAACGGACGTCAAAGGCAAAGCGCTTGTCCGAGCTACACTGGAGACTAGTAGGTAAGGTGCGTAATCCTCACCCCCATTCCCCAGGATCGAAATCGGAGTGAAGTGAAGTGAACTGAACCGAACGGTGGACGATGCTGGCAAGTCCGAGAGCACAAACACCGACATCACAACAACCACAGGAGTCATGGGAATCAATGCTCCCAGGCCCACCCAGTCGCAACAACTTTGGATCCGCAGATCTGAGCCCTCACGGCCTCATGGCATTCCCTTCAGGCAGTTCCATCTCCATCGTCGACACGCGCTCCATGCAATTACTCACCTCATTCCCCATCCCTCCGCCACCGTCCTCCGCCGCACCCTTCGTCACCACCCTCCGTTGGTCCCCTCTTCCCCTCAGCCGCCACCTCCTTTCCTCCGAACCCTCCTCCTCTCACCTCCTCCTCGCCGCCGGCGATCGCCAAGGCCGCATTGCGCTCCTCGATTTCCGCCTCAAGAACGCGCTCCTCTGGTTCGATACCGACTCCAAACAAGGCATTCAGGACCTCTGTTGGGTCCAGGCCCGGCCCGATTCATATCTTCTCGCCGCTATTAACGGACCTTCCACTCTTTCCCTCTACAACGCTTCCACCGGACGCTGCGTTTGGAAGTACGACGCTTCACCTGAATACTTCTCCTGCATTCGCCGCGATCCCTTCGATTCGCGCCGCATCTGCGCCATCGGCCTCAAGGGATTTCTCTTGTCAATCGTGCTTCTCGGCGATTCTGAGGACAGCGTCGTCATCAAAGAGCATCAGATTCGGACCGATTCTAGCGAGTTGCTTAAGCTCGAGAGAGATGCTGCTAGTGCATCGTCGACGGCGACTTCGGCGGCTCCGTCGCCTGCGTCCGCGACGTTTCCTCTTTATGCCGCGAGGTTCGCCTTTTCCCAGCAGTGGCGGCACATTTTGTTCGTCACGTTTCCGAGGGAATTGATTGTGTTTGACTTGCAGTATGAGACGGTGGTTTTTTCTTCAGCGTTGCCTCGTGGTTGCGGCAAGTTTCTTGACGTGTTGCCTGATCCGAATAACGAGTGGATCTACTGTGCTCATCTTGATGGCAAACTCAGTGCCTGGAGGAGGAAACCGTAAGCTTTTATCATATTTGATTATATGTATATATATTCGGATAGTCGGATACTTTTCCTCTCAAGTTAGATGAGTATATATGCAAGTACACGCAAATATAGTGTATAGCATAGTTTTAGATGGGTATACATTGGTCATATACTTAGATATAAAATAGCGGAAGCTTTCGTTATATATTGAGCTTGTTATTGCAGTATTTATTGGTCAAATTTTAATTGTTGCAAGTGTCAAACATGCTTCAATGCCATGTATTTGAGAAACGATGAAGACGTTGGCATTTGGTGAGTCTGTGAGACTTTCCTTGTTTGAAGCTGTTCCCCCTGTAGGCTTGAACTGAATCACTTTTAAGTGAGGTGGTCAAATGATTAAGGGATAAGATGGTGATGATGGCTTCCTTTATTGTCATAGGAAATGAATAAGAAAATATAGTTCTATATTTTTCTGCTTGTAATTTGCTGTCTATAAGTTTTCCTTTAGGTATTAGTCATCAATGCTTGCAACCGTTTATAATCAAATTTGATTTATCATTTAAATGTGTATTTTCCTTTTGAGACGTTTCTGTAACCATATTGGGTTTGTTCACATTTTATCTGAAGAAGTCTGTGCTCTACAACTTTATAGTCACTAGAGTTTAAAACAATTATTTTATAACACAACTTTTATTTTCTTCGAAGCTATTTTAGTTTCTGAGATTTGCACAAAAACATTTTTTTTTTTGCCTTTTTTAAGAAAAAACTTACATACTTACCTCATTTTTTTTAAACATATGTTTTAATTTTAAAAGTGCTTTTCTTAAAAAAAAAAAGCACAAACAAATAGGCTCTTAATGTCATTTGATTTTACATTTCAAGTACACTTTTGAACCATTGGTGTGTGTAAAATATTCAAATCCCCAAAATATCTTTGCATTCATTTCAGTAGATGCTACTTACATTTGTCGTCTCTTGCTCTTTTCCTCTCCTTCATTTGTAGATATTAAGGGTCTTGTGACCCTTACTGATTTACTTGCATGAATTTTCCTGTAACTAAGATTTACGCTTATCTGCATGTGATCACAGTGGGGAACAGGTACACATTATGTGTGCATTGGAAGAGTTAATGCCATCAATTGGTACCTCTGTCCCTTCTCCTTCAATACTTTCTGCCCTTTTATGCCAATCAGATTCCACACTTCAGAGAATTGGCAAAAATTATTCTGATCTACCTAGTTCTCCTTACCTTCGCGAGGATTTTGAGGATTTTGATAATCCTTTTGATTTTTGTGACGAGTCTAATACTGTTTCTAAGATCCATTTGATCTCCATTTCTGATGATGGAAAAATTTGGAACTGGCTCATGACTGCTGAAGGGCATGCAGAATCTCAAAAGGATGATAAGAGGTTAGGTTTGATCAATAATGACCATATAGTATCATTTCCTGGGGACAACTCTTAACACTTTAATATCTTCTGCTAGTGGACGGGATTTAAATGTAGGCAGGCAACAAGAGAGGTTCAATGATAGTAGAAGCCGGCTGCAGAGCTCAATCTTCGACCAGGAGGAAATTTTAATGAAGGTTAGTCTGTACTTAAAAACTTGCTTTGCTTTGTAACCTGAAGTTGATTTTAATTACTGCTTGTAGTACATGGTCTTAATATTTCATTTGGTTGACTTTTCTTTGCTGAAAAACTGCATCCAAAAGCTAGGTAGCACCTATTTGGATTTCCTTTGTTGGTTTCAAAATTTTGATGCTGTCTAATATCTGCAAATGGCTTTGCCCTTTATTTCTAATGCAGATTAGCTTAGTTGGACAGCTTCAGCTTCTTTCTTCAACAGTGACTATGCTGGCAGTACCAACCCCTTCTCTAACAGCCACTCTGGCCCGTAAGTTTATCTTCCCACCAACTTAATATTTGATCAAATATAGTATTACTCTTTTATAGAGGTTATGTGTACCAAACTTTCTGTGTTTATTAATGAAGTAACATTACGTGAAGGTGGTGGAAATTGTCCAGCAGCAGCTGTTCCCCTGGTTGCTTTGGGAACACAGAGTGGGACAATAGATGTTGTTGATGTTTCTGCCAATGCTGTTGCATCAAGTTTATCTGTACATAATGGTGTTGTTAGGGGACTACGATGGCTAGGAAATTCCAGATTGGTTTCATTTTCTTATACTCAGGTATATAATTTCATACATATGTTTAGACAGATTTTTCTTCATGTTATTTCCCTGCTGCAGTTTTTTTTGTAACTATTGTGTCTTATCTCTTTGCAATTTAAGCTTTGTGGTTCAAGCATGTTACCTAACACCTACTTCATTATAATTTCATACTTCTTTAAAACATTTATATGTCATTGTTCGGTTGTTATTTATATGCTTTTGGACTCAGGCTAATGAAAAATCCGGAGGATATATTAACAAGCTAGTTGTGACCTGCCTTCGGAGTGGCCTAAACAAGATGTTCCGAGTTATGCAAAAACCAGAACGTGCGCCAATAAGAGCATTGAGAACATCTTCGTCAGGAAGGTGAATCTCAAAGCTAAACTTTTTCAATTATCATTTAATTCATTATTTAATTTCTGAACATTCTCTTGGTTGTGCATTTTCCTATTTCTCTTTCTATACTGTGGAGATATGCTTAGTCATATCAACAATTTTGTACTGGCAAGATGGACTTTAGCGACTTAATGAATGCTATAGTTTATATGGAATTGTACTTTAGTTGAGTTATATATGCTCCCTGTATCCTACCTTGGGGATCTTAGTGGATGTTTATATTTGCTTGGCTGTTTATGCATAAGGGGGTCCTGTAGAATGTTCTAATCCTTGTAGATAATGGGAGCGTTGAAACTAAACTTATTTTTGTTGGTGCTAAGGATTGACATTTTTATTGGCATTTCTCACCACTCCGAGTGCTTAAAAAAATTGAAAAAGAAAAAAATCATTGCTTCATTTATATCCTTTTTGTTTTTCACATCCACCACTCTGATAGCTAAAACCTAAGTTGCATAGATTGACTATGGTCCAAATATTCTAAAACTTAATAATTGATAGCAATGGAAACAAGCTTTTTTTTCGCCCTTTTGTGAAGAGGCAGAGAGGGAAGGGGTTCTGTGGCAAAATAATCCTTCCAATTTTGGTCAAACTCTGGTGCTAAATATTTAAATTTCCTATCAATGGAAACTTAATAATTGATAGCAATGGAAACAAGCTTTTTTTTCGCCCTTTTGTGAAGAGGCAGAGAGGGAAGGGGTTCTGTGGCAAAATAATCCTTCCAATTTTGGTCAAACTCTGGTGCTAAATATTTAAATTTCCTATCATGTCCTGGTCTAGTAGAGCTGTTTGCTTTACTTTCACTCTAGAGATTTGTGATTACATGATGTTTTTTAGTAGTCTGATATCCACAATATTTCAGGTATCTTCTAATTTTGTTTCGTGATGCACCTGTAGAAGTTTGGGCAATGACTAAAAATCCCATCATGGTAAGTTTGCTTCTGTTTGACGATGTGGTTACTGGCATAATTATATATAGTCTTGAGTGAAATTACTCTTGTAGGCTCTGGATGATACTTTAATATTCTTGTGGACTTGTAATTTTGAAATGGATTCTTTGGAGTATTTTACTTACTCCACGTGTAATTTTTTTTGGTTTCTTTATTTTGTGGAAATTAGAGAGGATTTACAATGTATAAAATATGGATATTATATTAGAATTGTTATGATATGGGGTAATATATTGTAATTATCTAAAGTTTAGTACCTTGGTGTTGAATAGTTTTTTTGCAATTTATGGTGCAGTGTGTCCTATTTAATGGATGCTTCTGTATTCTAACGATTAATGACTCCAACTTTAGTTAAAATTGCTTACAAATTTCTGTTCTTCCTCCTCAGTCCACCAGTTCCCCTTTTTTCCTCTCTTCGACCCTGTCTTTGTTTCCCTCAATTTCTCCTTCGCTTTCTGAGTTTCCCTTGACTGTCCTATGGCATCTGTTTAGTATGGCCTTTTATAGCCATTTTTTAAATATATACAAATAATTTATTAAGAAATAAAAGGAGAGATAAAAAAGCAAGTTAATAGGAAATTGTCAAAAACCATACCAACAAAGAAAATGGAAAAAAAAAAAGAACACAGAACATGCAACACAGCTTGTTGATCTCTCTGATTCAATAGCAAGGTATGAGACTTGAGAGCTACATTGGGCTAACTTTTGTAACGTGATTCTTCAAAAGTTTTTATCAATTAGTATCAAAACCTTCTACCATGTCTCTTAGCTGCAAACTAGCAGCACCGATAGTGATGCTGACATTGAAGTGTCCACCTAAGACTAGTCAAAGGGGCTAGTGCACAGCTAAGCCGTGTGGTTGTCAGGATTACGGAGTGTGGTGGGATGTTAGGATTCAATTGCAAGGAGTGGGACTTGAGTCCGATATTGGAAGTGTGAGATTCTACTGTGCAGTTTATGAGACTTTGGGCGCTCTAATTACAACGGCTAGTTTTTGTTATGTGGTTCTCCTATGGTTCGTATCAATCCACACAAAAGATACACCCCTTTAAAAACCTTTAGCAAAACTCCACAAAGAGGCTAAGTGAACTACTCAGTCCCAATTGAATTCAAGAGGCAACAATTGACCAATAAAAATTGTAGCATTTCTTTCTAGCTACATGCACCAAACAATCTGCAAATTGAGAACAGTGCCAAAGCCTGTTAGCTAATATTTCCCTTTTGCTCCAAATATTTCCTTCATGATTGCAAGTAGGACTCGGTTTACAGTAGCTAATTTCCTGTATGCACGATTTAATTCTGAACTTCACCTCTTTTTGAATTTTGAAGCCCCACATTTTAGATTGTTTCTTTTTTAAATTAGGAAGGTCAATTCTGATTTCGTGGTATGTTGTTGTGTATTTTGGTTGACACTAAATGTTATTTATCTGGATATTAATGATGCTTGCTATCTCCGTGTAGCTTAGATCATTAGCTCTTCCATTTACGGTGTTGGAATGGACTCTTCCAACAGTTCCACGTCCTTCTAAAGATCAGACATCAGGGGCATCAGATGAAGCATCTAAACCATCAAAGACTTCCTCCTTAGATTCAAGTGAGTTGTTTGCTTGAAGTGCTTAGCTGCTAGTGTAGAATTAATGGTTCCTTCCCTTTTGCGTAAAATAAAAAATAGCTTATGGATTATGTTAATTTCCCTTAGCAGAGGGTTCAAGCACAGAGGGATCCCATGATGACACGTCTGAAAGTTTTGCATTTGCTCTGGTGAATGGGGCACTTGGAGTTTTTGAAGTACACGGTCGAAGAATTCGAGATTTCAGGTGTCAACTGTTTTCTGTAGAAGAACGGCTTATTACTGCCGATGTGTTATTTTTCATGATATATGGACTGTTGAATTTGTATTGATCATTATTTAATCCTTGCAAAGGATGTACAATTTATCTTTTCTTGTCACTGTTTTTCTGCAGTTATTAATGGCTGATCTCTGATCTAATAGTTATGTATTAATTTGTTTGCTTTTGTTACACTCTACATCTTTCCTGCTGGTCTTCCTGTATGATTGCTTTATCTGATTACTTTAACATTGTCCACAGACCAAAATGGCCTTCTTCATCATTTGTATCATCGGATGGATTGATTACTGCAATGGCCTACCGCTTGCCTCATGTGGTAATCATCATCACTTAAGAATCAGTTCAATATATATATGTGTGTGTGTGTATAAAATCTTAATTTGCTCTAAATTGAATGATGATTTCGACCAAATTAGTTTTTCAGGTCATGGGAGACAGAATGGGAAACATAAGATGGTGGGATGTGACAACTGGACATTCTTCCTCATTCAACACTCACAGAGAAGGAATCCGGCGGATCAAATTCTCACCTTTTGTACCAGGGGACCATAGCCGTGGACGTATTGCTGTTCTGTTTTATGATAACACTTTTTCTGTATTTGATTTGGTAAGATAGGAATTCACTTTTTCTGGATCATGGGTGTAGTTTAATTGTTATTTCATTTCATACTTTGCATTAATAGTTGTACTGCTAAGCATTTTTAATTCATATCTAACTTTGGCTTTTACTGGGGATTGAAGCCTAAGAAACTGAATATTATTATATAAACAAATAAGTTTGCCACTTCTGATATTTCATAGATCTTCTTTAGCCATGATGCAGAAAAAGAGAGGGACAGAAAAATTGTCCTTTTCAAAATGCTGAGACACCTCTTGTAATTGTTTAATCATACATCTCAACATATTTTGCAGGACTCACCAGACCCCTTAGCCAATTCACTTTTGCAACCTCAATTTCCTGGAACACTTGTATTGGAACTTGATTGGTTGCCCTTGCGAACTGATAAAAATGATCCATTAGTACTGTGCATTGCTGGAGCAGATGGTAGCTTTCGCCTTGTTGAAACTAACGTGTAAGTGCCATGAATCACTCTTAGGAGTCAGGAAAGATTAGCTCATCTGTATTATTATCAGGATATGATTGTTGTTTTAGAAGATGTTATAATGACTTGAACTAGAATGGATGGTGGGATAGGTTTTTTACAATTACGAAAACATTGATCATGATGTTGAAATGTTTCGATCAAAAGTAGGCTTTGCACAAATGACATGTGATGTCACTCAATTGTTGCATTTAAGCTTCTTTCTGCTACTGCCATGCATATTGAAGTCACAAAAGGGAGTGGGGGAGTTAGGGAAGGAAAAGTTTTTGCACATGAAGCTGAAAGGTGAAAGAAATTAGAAATTTTGAACTGTGTGTGTAGAAAGATAGATGGACTGTGTTCATGTGGAATTATTTTTTTCAGCTCATTGTGGAATTATTTAGTTCATTATGTTTCCAATTTTTAGGGTTTTAGCTTGCTCTTCAAGGTGGATGAGTCACCAAGTGATTGTAATCTAGATGGTTCACAACAAACAATAGCTGTCACAGTTTTAGGGATTTCTTTAGTGGACTGACATTGTGAATGGTGTGCTTTTCTTTTCATGCAGAAATGATAAACGATTTGGTTATTCACCCCTGATCAGAAATACAAAGGAAAGGTTCCGATCAATGCCTATATGTTGTCCCATATTACTTCCTTCACCACATGCCCTGGTAGTGTGCCAACGTTAACTTCACTGATTTTACTGAACTAGCTAAATTTACATTTTCTTGTTGTTATTTACTACCAAGGTATATTGTCAGCTCTCACAGTGAATGTCTGCATTTTATAGATAACAGCACATAGTTAGCAACAGATTTTCATGTGCAATAATGGATAGAAGAAGTAACATGAAAACTTTAAGTAATGAAACAGAAATGATTTCATGGAGTATTAATCATTTTAAATTTCTCTTGGTATCAGGATATCTGTTTTTAGTTAATCTCAGACAATCTCTTTCTTACTTGGAACAAAATTGAATATTTCCCTTTCCTTTGTTATGAATGACAAGTCAGTTTCAGTCTCCATTCTTTAGTTAGTTGACCATAATTCATGTTTACCCTAGCCTAGGTCTGTATAATTCATCCAAATTGGGTTTTTCTTTCTCTTTTCCTTTCTTGAAATACTTGTACGGATTTAACTTGTTCTCATAAATTATTTATGGTCATCAGCTCATTGTCATTTATTTATTATAGTGCTTCATTGAATATGTACTAATGTTGCTACAGGCATTGCGCATGATTTTGCAATTGGGTGTTAAACCTTCTTGGTTTAATACTTGTAGTACGACCATAAAAAAGAGACCTCACTTAATTCCAGGAACTCCTTCATCTACAGGGGATCTTCGTACATACATGATCAACATACCACCTCTTGGTGACTCGGTGGTGCCGGAGATGCTTTTAAAAGTATTGGAACCGTATAGAAAAGAAGGTTTATGTCCTATACCAAGTTTCAATAATGAAAATTCTTGCATTTCAGGTTTTATAGTTTTGGTGTTAAAAACACTACCAATATGTCCATTTCTTAAGGTTGCATGCTTGACGATGAGAGAGCAAAGTTGTATGCTAGTATTGTGGATAAGGGTTGTGCTGCAAGGTTTGCTTTTGCTGCTACAATATTTGGTGAATCCTCAGAAGCCCTGTTTTGGCTACAGCTGCCTCAGGCACTTAAACATTTGATGAACAAGTTATTGAGAAAGCCTCCACCAAAAGGGCCCACAGCAGATTCTATCTCGGAGGTTGATGAAACATCTCTACTGTCTAGGATATCATCAAAGGGAAAACCAACACAAGAAATGGGGAGAGATGAATTGGTAAGATGGTTTTTATTTTCCTTTGAGGTTCTATCTCTTCTTGTGTCCCTCAGTCCAGTCGTTTGAAGAGTTGCTGTTGACATGAGTGTCAATATCATCTGAATGACTTTAGCTTTTGGGTTATCAGAGTCAAGGTCAACTTAGGTTGATGGCTTTTGACCATGAAGAATTATGGAAAAGTGCTAGTGAGCGTATTTCTTGGCATGAAAAATTAGAAGGTGAAGAGGCTATACAGAAACGAGTACATGAGTAAGTAAATTTATCATTTTGTTGGGAGTATATGGCTTAGTTTGTCTTCTTAAGGTCCAGAGGTATTGAGCTTAATGCCTTCCAGTTAAACTCCATACTTGTAGTCCAAATCCATCATTTTTTTGGTGTTTCTCTATTTGAAATTATAATATGCAAGACATTGTAATTGTAATATCCTTATTTTATTTAAAACAATAAGAAAATAATTCTGTAGTAAAGGAGAAAAAATTTAATTAATTACTTTTGCTAGCAAAATGTAACACGTGGAATTATAAAATATTTCGTTTATTTTACTCAAACTTATAAAGATTTAAATGACAAAGTAGTGGGAATTAAACCAATTAAAAGAAAACTTGAAATAACATTAATATATATTGTTATAATGAGTTGCAACAGGTTGATATTAGTAAAATATACATTAAAATACATTAGGACTCATCTATATTTACAAAATACAAAATATGATAAGTCCTAATGAGCAGTCTATCTACTAGAAGACCGAAGACGATACTAGTCATCTCCAAACTATCCTTCAATCTCTGCTATCTCCTCTGAGGATAGTCCTCATCCTCTCGGCAGTGCAATGATTGGGTCTTCCATGTTGGTCATGACCCAAAAAGGTGTACACGTAGTTCAATGCATTTGGTGGCCTGGTCAAGCCTCTGTATATTCTATAATCATTTTTAAAGTAAATATAATACTCGACCCATCATTACTACATACAATAAAACTATAATGGCATAATCATTGCCATTCCCTAGTTACTGGGTCTATTCTACTAGTAATGAGTAACTCAGATAGGCTAACAAGTTCCTTTGGGTCCGTCATCTATATTTCCTGAAAGGTTATGTAAGGATGAGTCTCTATTTTCATTACTGAGCATGCATTCACAATTAAGTCAATAATACAAATGAAGATAATGCAACAAACCATCATGCCACAAGATCATATTTATATAAAAGCAACAATCATAAATTACTCAGCGTATTGCATTCCCTCTTTATTAACACTTGGAATTCTCATTTCACACTTTTACTGTTCCTAGGATCTTTCGAGGTCTTTGTCAACATAGATATTGCTGGATAGTAGTAGGTATGCGGATGCAACGTGTATTGACTTGGTCCTTTTTACCAAAAGCGTGATTAAGAGTTTAAGTCGGGAAATATGTGTAAGGCTTATGGTGCTCTTATTTTCATTTGTTATGCGCAATTCAAAGAGAACATCTATCATCCTCATTTTTCTAAGATTTTTTAATTGCCTCCATCTTTCATACTCTTGGTGTATATCTGAATTATCCATACTTGTCCTTATCATGTTCTTTTCTCATTTCATTTCTCTTTCCATATTTTTCATCTCATTTTTATATTTCTCATTATGGATCTACTATTTTCATTAGTTATTTTGGCCCAAACTCATTATTTATTATATCTGAAACTCATTATTCGTATACTATCATATTATTCATCCTTTAATTTTTCTATTTTATTCAAGTTCATTACATCATCATTTATCAATCAATCATTGCCTAGTAGTGGTTACCTCCGGACTCAGTTCACAACATATATGCATATATATTCAAAATAAAAGACTATGAACATCATCAAACACCACAAAAACATGCTTCAATCACATATATATTCACAGTCATGCATTATATCACAACATTTTCATGAACACAAATATACTGTATTCTTAGTAACAAGATAGAGCTCTCCTTACTTTAAAGTGAAAGTTTAGTAAAAGATTTTTGAGAGATCTTGCTCAGAAGGTTGTGTTCTTCCTAAATATTATAAGAGATATTATTTAAAAGAGAAAAAACAAGAAAATAACCAAAGTAATGGAGAACTAAGCTTCAAGATCTTACCAAATAGCAAAGAGAGTGACCTTTCAAGCTTGGATTAAAGAAAGATTAAAACTTTTCAAGGATTTTCTGAGAAAAGTAGGAGAGAGGTCAGAGGGAATGAAGAAGTGTTATAACTTGGATTATAATTCAAGTATCTTAACTTAGAAACCTTTATATACCCTTCAACTTGTGACATTTTCGTTACAACGAGTCCTTCTCTCGTTGCAGTGAAAAAATTAAATACAATTTTTCTTTGTTATCTATCATTCTAGTTAAAATGAAAGCTTCTCGCTACAACGAAAGTATTTTCGTTAAAGGGAGAGAGCCTGATTTTGGACGCTCATTTCTTGCTACAGCGAGAAATTTTGCAACTCACACTCTTAAACCTCTCCTAATTTCAAACAACATATATTAACAATTCACACAAAATACAAAAATTAATAAACAACAAAAATAGGAGTGTTACAATAATAAGTTCTCTTGCTCCAAGGAGAAAAGGTGCTGCTGTGACACAAACCACATTGAAATTTCTTTTCTTTTACTACTTTGAGTGGGATTATAACTTCTGTAATTGTAATACTGACATTTTGGTGCTGTCAGGCTTGTTTCAGTTGGAAACCTAGAATTTGCAGTTAGTTTACTGCTGTCTACACCTCCGGAGAGCTCCTACTTCTATGTTAATGCTCTTCGTGCAGTTGCTCTCTCTTCTGCCGTTTCAAGGTCTCTTCATGAACTTGCAGTGAAGGTGAGTTTAAATGTGGTATGCTTGTGTTTAGGCATCAAAATACAAATTCTGGCTAGTATACAAGAATATAGTTCATTTAACCAGTATTTTATAACATCAGATATATTTTTTAGGTTGTTGCAGCCAACATGGTGAGGGCTGACAGGTCACTCTCTGGCACTCATCTTCTATGTGCAGTTGGAAGATATCAAGAAGCATGTTCTCAGGTTAGACTTTGTCATAAAATTGTGTACTCCGTGCTTCCTTAAAATTCAGTATTAAGTGCCAAAAATTATATTATAACAGATGCGCACAAGTTTAAAGGTCTCTTACCTGGTTACAAGTTGTTAATCTTATAAAATTGTGGTTGAAAACCTGGTTGCTTGATGGTCTCTTACGTTGGTGATTATCTAATTCAAATTGTGTCAAGGAGTTTTTCTTTTCCCCATTTAGGTGAGAACTGGATCCACAATTTTCATTTTTTATCTAACAAAGAAACTAAAGGCAAAAACAGTGGCTGCGAAGTTTTTAGTCTTTTTTTCGGAAGTTTCATTTCTGTACAATATAGGATCTACTTAGTACATCGGTCTGAATTTTGTGTCAAATTTGTAAATAATTTTTTTTCCTGCAGTTTTTTTCCCCTGAAGAGAGTTGACTGACTTGACTACATTGTTTTCTTATTATATCAAAATCTCATGAAAATCAACTAGCATTGTTTTTAATATGTCAAATTGCGGCTTTCCAAAGTAGATCACCTTAACGAATGAAATCTGCAGAAAATGGGATCCTAGTGGCTGAAGCTGCTAGGGTCAAACTTGTTAACTTAGGAGTTTATTATTGTATGTCCATAGGAACATGATTTATATTTTTATTGAAAAAACATATTATATCGAAAACAATAATGTCATCCACTGTTTTTCAATAAACAATTTAAATCACTTAAGTGTATTTAATGCTTTCTTAACATGTGCTTATGGACACAATAAAAATCTCCATTTATTAAAAGATGTAATAGGAAGCGTTTTCTTTGTTATGTTCCATCAGCAATTAGGCTACAGTGCTACACAACTGGAGGTAAAGCATCTCCTGTCGTAAATTTTACCATACAAATTTTTTAACGACTGGAAGCCTGTGTTTAGAGTATAACAGCTGATGTACAATTTTGGGGAATCACTGACCCGATACAAATGATTCCTTGTATTGTGGATTGATATGTCTTAACGTGGTGGATGTTGATGGGCCTGCCTCCCTATCCTACTATTTAGCTTCAAATAGTTTTATTAAAGGCATGTTCAATTCACAAAGGTGAAGGAACACCTATAATATACTCAAAACAAATATTATTGATTCACACAGACATACAGCAAGAAAGTTGCTGTCTGAGTTCGACTACTCCTACAAAGAAGTTCTGTGTCCAAAGTTACAGGATACCACACACATAACCCCCTATAACACCCTAATCCTGTATTAAACTCCATCAATAATTGAGACAAGACATAATTGCCTTAGCACACATTATTCCTATCAAACACACACAATAACTGTTAAAAGGCACAGCTGCCTTTTAATTGCATTCAATCCTTCCTCCGCCTCCTTGAATAAACATTTTGAATAAAAGGTTTCTGAATATGATGATCTAATAGATCAGATCCATCAGGTTTCTGAAAAGTATTTCACAATTAGTTCTCTGAACAATTATTCAGCTTTTACAGGTTTAAAATTAATTAACAGGTTATCAATATAATGTGCTTGATTTTCTTAGAGAAACGCAATGTAATATCTTATGCAGCTACAAGACGCTGGGTGCTGGGCGGATGCTGGAACTTTAGCTGCTTCTCACTTAAGGGGATCAGATTATGCAAGGTTCTTACTCATTCTTGATAATGGGTTCAATATCCTAAGAAAATTTGTTAAGAAATCATTAATTAAAAGGTTTTATTAAAATTACGGTAAAAGTGCATTAATAACACTTTTTATGAAAAAATTGCCATTTTTTATTTCTTAACGAATGCTTTAGGGCGACTATCCCACTGGTTTGCATTAATATGACATTCATTTAATGTCATTCTCACCTGCCATTTGCAACCTAACCTCCAATCCTCTGGCTAAATGAGAAAATAAATAAATTCCAAACTAATATTTTTATGATATTTTGCATTCCAACTGTGCTGTTGTCTAATTTTGTGAAGAATTTGAAATTGATGGCAGGCAAGTTGAAAATTTTATAGAACCGTTTTGGATTTTACATAATTTTTAACTTACTTTCCAGCATAACTGCTGTCTCTGCATTTGTAAAAATATCATTTGAATTGTATGCCATCATGACTAGAAGATCTTCCCTACATTTTGTTATTTCTGGCAGAGTGTTGCAAAGATGGGCTGGACATGTTCTGCACACTGAACATAATATCTGGAGGTACTGCTGCCCTTTCTTTAAATTTTATCTCTACCTAGTCACCCCATTTGATCTCTGATGACCCAATGCAGGGCTCTAATTTTGTATGTTGCCGCTGGTGCACTGCAAGAGGCATTGGCAGCTCTTCGTGAGGCTCAGCTACCTGACACAGCTGCAATGTTTATCCTTGCATGCCGTGAAATCCATTCAGAAACAGTTTCTAACCTAAATATTACTGATGATGAATCGAATTCATCAGTTAAGGATGAGCTACTAAACTTGCGTGCTTTAGATCCAAAGAATGAAGATGTTATTGCAGTTGGTGAGTATTTTGGACAATACCAAAGAAAATTGGTGCATCTATGCATGGATGCGCAGCCATTCTCTGACCAAGTATAGTGCTCGATGAAATGGATTCAAAATTTTCATTTATATTCGTGAAACTGTTGGATTGGTAACTCTCCGCATGAAAAGAAAGTTGTAGGCTGATTGTGGTTCCACTACCACCTGACTCCTGCATTCTTTTCTGTCAATGAATCTGATGCTTTCATTGACTTGCCAAACCCAAAAAGTGTATGATGGAAAGCATTGGAGAAGGGATGGCATGGAGCGTAAGTTTTTTAAAATTTAAAGGTGGCTATACCAGAGTCCGATATGAAACAGTCATTGATTACAATTAAAATGGTTTGCGTGATCTTTTTAAATTTACAATTACATGGGTTAATTAATTAACCCCTTGTAGCTCTTGTATAAAATTTTGTCGACAACAAATTATTGAAGTGTATTTGTATGTTAGTTGATTTATAGGACACTGAAATGGTTGCATCTACATTTAAATGCAACGTGAGAATGTTACTTCAAATGTGTTACTTATAATATTCGATTTTTGAGGGTGTTGGATAAGTTTAAGTGCTGGCCTTGTTTAATTTGGTTTATCTTACCTACGCAGTAATTTGCTTTTAATGTTCTGTTGGCTTGACGGGAGAAAAACGAATAGATTATTCTTGTTATAGTTATGGAGTTCTTTTAAAAGGAACGATAAGATAATAACTTTACATGTGTTTGCTATAGCCAGAACTGAGTTTTAGGTGATTTAACAAAATTATTGTTTTAGTTTAATAATTTTTACCAATTTGAATAATACGAAAGCAGCTTTGAGGTAGCATGGTTGGTATTGATTTAGTTTAAAGATTATGATGTTTTAATCCAAATACAACTACAAAGACTTGCAAGGAAATCGTATACTTTACCGACGTGAGTCCATCCACGAGAGAAAATTAAGGTTCCTAGATTTTGTATGAAAAGATAGAAGATACAGAGGAAAGAAATATAAATAATCGTGTATTTTTTTTATTGGGTTGAAGATAAAAATAAGAAAAAAGTTAACTTTCAAAAAAAAATTTAAAAAAATGTTCTCTTATTATTTTACCTTCAAGTTAAATTTCATTTTTTTTCTCCTCCTGTTTTCTTTTCAATAAAGCCAACAGATAGTTGATTTAGGACTGAATGAATAAAGGCAGATCAAGGCCCTCAAGCCTCGAGGTTCAGATGTGAAGTTGAGCATAATGAAACCGCAGTGTGGTTCCACCAAACAAAATGAAAAAGCAATATAGAATTACCGCGCAATCCGCAGGTGGTGGGCTTACCCGAAGAGAACCAAAGCAGAGCTTGCCCTTGAAAGTCTGCTCCATAAATTAAGGAGCCTCACATAAACAGAGCAAAAAGCTTGTCCTTGCGCTGGATTTATGCGAAGAGGTGGACCCAAATTTATCATGCATGTAGTGGAGCATCTGTCAATGGTGGTGGGGGAGGGGGGGGGGTGACAAGAATTAGGTGGAGCCATTTTATTTTTTTTACATTCACTCTTTGTCTTCAAACCCCGCACGTTGCTAGTGAGAAGGTTTAGTTAGTGATAGTGTGGTATATTATATTATATTATATGGTATATAAAATCATGCTAACTAAATGACAGATAACACTTGATACTAGAAGAGGGCCTGAGTCGTTTCACTATCCGTAAGTTACACGGCAGGCAGAGTGAAGATCGAGATGATATAAGGACTTCATATTTCATATATATTATATATCGTTTATAACTTGGGATGTATGAAACTCTTCAAACATATTTTCAACATTTATACATCCCAAACTCAGACAGCAAAAAAAACCTTAAGAGACTTTGATATTGCTTGGAAGGTCATATGGCCATGAAGAAATTAAGTTTTCACAAAACAAGATCCTCTCTTTGATTGAATTGAGAATTCAATAATAAGGTGTATGGTAATAAGGTCCAGGTTGGCCAATCCCTCCAAACTGTGGCATTCCATAAGGCATCAAAGGTGCATAGTAACCATCTCCACCAGCAACCCTGGCTAAACCCACTTGCCCTTGCATCCCATCTCTCCCATATTGCTGCCACGCCTGTTGCTCCTGCACAAGCAAATGCTGCTTCCTTTCCATGTCTGCTATTTGTACATATGAAGGTGGAGGAACTGAAAGCGATGCTGCAAACGGATCCTGTGACCCCACAACCTGAACTGTCCCATCTGGAGCAGGCAAAGCCAGAACTGGTGTGCCACTCTTACCAAGCCCAGGCAGTGCCACACTGCTAGCACTACCACCACTCAGCTGTGTTGTGCTCACGTGTTGCCTCACAGCCCCTTGATCATACATGCCATTTAGCAATAGTGGATCAAACCCACCTGCCAAATCAGCCTTCTGCTTTGACAAGTTACTAGTACACTCTACCAATGTCAATTCCCAATCTGCTTTACCAGGTTCAGCAGCTGGTGTTTGCCATGCAGATGTAACTTCTGATTCCCCATTTGAAGGAAATGCTTCCCAAGATCCTTCTGTTCTAACTGTTGCTGGCCCGGAGAACAATGCCAATGCTAGCTTGTTCCCTTGCTCATCAGCTGAAATCCCCTCATCTCTTAGATTCACCAAATCATTTGTCTCCTCTTGAGAAGGAGTTGCCTTAAGCTGTGGAACTGAAGGGGGTGGTGGTTGAGGTGTGAAATTCTCAGATGCTGGAAGAGCCTTTACCTCATTCATATCTACCTCTGGCTCTTCCTCTTCCACAGTTTCCTTCACCTCAATCCCACTCTTCTCAGGACTCTTTGGCCTGTTATTCATTTCCTTCAAGAAACCCTCAAGTGTACCCAGAAGCTTATCGGTGATTCTCTGCACTTCAGGGTACTCAGAGGACCTTGCAATTCCCATATCCTTACACCAACCATAGAACCCCACCAACTCATCCATCAACTTGGCAGCACTGACATAAGAATCAAAGGCATCGACACAATGTGCATACTCCATCTCTGTGAACCGATCCAACAACACCCCCAACACATCACATATCTCCACGTATAGCTTGAAACTGTCCTTCACAACTTGGTAAAGCGCAACCAGCACAAGCCTATTATTCTTAGCAACACCACTTGGCCTACACCCCAATACACGGTCAAGAATCCGCAGCAAAAGCTTCAACCTATCCAAAACCCTCTCAGCTCTCATTTCCCTCACAGGGGTAACTTCACTTCTTTTACTTCGATCCTCTCTCTCATCGCCATATTCAACACTACCACCACCTCTCAGCTTCCTCTGATACACCACAAACTCAACCTTCTCATCAAGATACAATGCATAAAGCCTAACAAAACCTGCATGATCCCAGGAACTAGAATGCGCCTCGTCTCTGAAATCAGACATGTTGAGAATCCTCATCCCTCTGCGAGTGGCATGCACAATCTCTTCCTCAAACGCGGGGTGCCCATCAACCAAAAGCCTGTGAACAAGCATGAGTGACTTAACCGCCACAATCCAATCACGGGTCTTCCCAAGCCTCTTCGAAATGGTGACCAAACAAGCATTGATGTAGCCTCTGGAATACGATGTCAAACTCAGAATTTCTCTCATGTACTTGTCATCAGCAGGGACTACTTCATGGCTCGTGGCTTTGACCACCAACACTTCCAGCTCTGGAGCCAAATTTCCTGCAACTTTGGCTATGCTGATGCTGGTTTGGTCCTTCACCACGCCAATCGCCTTGCGGATCGTGCTCGATGCCATGTCAACGATAATGGGTGTGCTTTGCGGAACGAAATTAAGATCAAAATTGAGATCTTTTTGCGAGTGGGGATCGGAGAGAGATAGAATCCGAGAAGGGCATGGAAGATGTGTTGACTTGGATGGTGGGATGAAGAGGGAGTGTTCTGCGTTGTGTTGTTTATGAGAAGTGAATGGCTTAGAATGTTTAAAGTTGTGAGTAATTGTAAGAGAAAAGAGAAGAGGAAGACAAGGCCAAGATTGCGAAAACGCGTAATGAAAGCACATTGGACTTAGATTTTTCTTTTTTCATAAATAAAGTTTGCGTTGCTTACATGACGCGGTCGGCGTAACGGGACATGCTGACGTTGTTCTCCACTCATAACGCCTCAAAAACTAAACATTTCAATTCTTTTTATTTTATGAGATCCGACTGAATATTATATATTTTTTAAAATGTAAAATCAATTTTATACGTCAAATTTATATCTCTTTCACCAATCATTTTTTAAAGTTCAATCAAATGCTTTTGTAATATAATTAAAAGGAATTGTAAATATTAAATTATATATTAAAATAAAATAATATAATATAATAAGTATTAATTAATTTTTGAATTACATAAAATATTATAAACTTACTACAATTTATAAAATGAACTAAATTAAGGATTAAAATTTTCCAATACATACTTTTAACATTGACACAATGATTTTATCACACATATCTTCGGTCATAAGAAAAGTGGACACACCCCAAGCCTTCTCTTTTGATAAAGAAAAGTTACACCTAGCCAGCTGTCACTCATTTAAATTTTCACCAAAACTTAGAGATTTGACAGAATTAAACACCTGTTGATGGTTAAAGATTTCCACGTATTAGCTAGCATTAACAAAGAGTCGGCTTAGTAATTAAACAGTTATTGTGCAAATAAGACTACTTAAGTTCAAACATTAACCTAACATAAAAGCTTATGAAAGTTTAATTTCCTTAACTGTAACAGATGCTAGGTGTATTTATCATTTATAGACCTATTCCTTTATATAAATTATAACACGTTTTAAAAAATAACTTAACATCCTATTCAAACTATTCATTGTGTTAAGGGCAGTATTTACAAACTTAATTTTAAGTTAATTTTGATAAAAATTGTTAATATTATTTATAAAAATCTGTTATTTTAAAAATTTGAGGACTGATTGGATTATAATTTAGGAAAACTTTTAGTTATAATTGATTTTAAAATGAAATAATTTACATTTTGAAACATTTATTTCAAGAAACAAGTTCATAATAAAAATTATTATGATTTTTTTAACGTAAAAATAAATATTTCATTCATAATAATAATAATAATTCAAATTTAAATTTGTTACTACCAAACAAAATATACACATACATACACGTATGTTGTATGCATGTGTACTAAAAAAAATGCTTGGACAGCACTGGCCAAATCAAATGTAAATTAAGCAAATTTATTTTTTAAAATTTAATTAAAATATTAATAGCATATGTTTTACATTATAGTTTATTCATTAATTGTTATATCATTGATTCATTTTTCTTATAAAACATTTAGAAGTTATATTTATGATTTTTTTGATAGGTTGATAATATATAAAAATACATTCAAAATTAAACTATTATTTTCTAATCTTATTTTTTACACACACTTTATCTTTCTGACATATTTTCAATCATATTTGTTACTCTTGTGTTAGAATTTTATTATGGTAATTAATTACTTTGAATTTTTTTCATTAAAACTAACAAAAAATAAATATAATTAAAAAAATCTATATTTTAAATACGTTTTTTTTACATTCTTAATTAATGACAGTACCATGCATGAGAGGTGAATTTTTTTCTATTTTTTTTTATTAGGAAACAAATTTTGACTTTAATTATGTAAAATTTTAGGGTTTAGGGTTTAATTATGTGATAAATTTTTGTGTGTATACATGAATCGATAATATTCTTTAAATTGCATAACTACAACATTGTTATAAAACTCATATGAATTATTGACTTAATCGAAATACTAAGTTATATTGATTCAGTAAATAAGTAATTAAATTGATTAAACTAATTTATATTCAAAATTAAGAAAAGCAGAATCATGTGTATATATATAATTTAGAAGTCCATTATTTTTTAAAAGAAATATTAGTCGATTAGTTTATTCAAATAAAATACGAGTTTTTTACCTAAATAAAATAAATAGGATTAAATATTACGTATATACACCAGAAAAAAATTTTAAACAAATATCTTAATTTGAATTATAAAAAAGTCAATTAAAATTAACTTTAATTCTAATACACAAAGTTGATTTAAATTGTTTTTGATAACGCAATGAAAAAATCAATTATAATAGACTACAATTAAAAAAAACTTGATTTAAATTATTTTTTTACAGTGCAATGATTATGATCGACTTCAGTTATACAAGAAAGTCGATTATAATTAATTTTAATTTTTAAACAAATTAATTTAAATTATTTTTTTGACAGCACATTGAAAAAGTTAATTATAATCGATTTTAGTTTAAAAAAAATTATGACAAATATATATATTTAGAATATGAACTACGACAAATGTATACATAAACAGAGGTTTCTTGATTTTGTTCTTGCACTCTCAAACCATATGAAAAGAAGATAAATACAAATTATGCATATGTTATCTAAAAGTGGGAGATTTGTGGAGTAGATGCCAGGATACTTTACAAATAAACTAAAAAAAAATTATTCTTTTCTTTTGTTTACTCAATCACTAACCTATTGATGTTGTTAAGCACAAAAGTATTAGATACAAGAGGGTGCATATTCTTAAGTGGATGTTGTGTAAATGTGAAGCTGGTAGATATAACACTTCTGAACCCTATTGTGTTGTTGTTACTATACGTGATATTTGTTGAAGAAGAAGTGATATTTTTTATTATTATAGTAGTAAAAGGAGGAGTGGTCCCAATGACAGCATGGCTTGATTGACCTTCCACGGGGTTTCTTGAAAGACTGCGTCATCTGTCCATGTGATGTTTATAATACTTTTGATCCACTATGACATCTCTTAAACATAGTTATTTTTTCCCATATGTTCCTACAACTTTCTGTTGCAGGATTAGTGCTGTTCGAGAATTCCAGATAAAAACCTCCCCATCCCACTGCACCAAAACCATAACCATCACATAAAAACTCACCTCTATAAACATTAAGAGGTTCAAAAATAAATTTTATTGAGAAAAATAAATTGCCGTATTATATATGTTTTCAACTCAAACATATTGTTGTATTAAAGACAGGAAAATATAATGAATATTTTTTAATAATTTTTTTTAAGATTAGTTGATAAAATTTATTAATTTTAATAGTTTGATAAGAATAAACTTCCTTGCATTATTGGGTTTGAGAAATGTGTTTGAGAGGTTATAAAAACCAACAAATTCAAGCGCTTTCTTTCGTTTTCTTAATAGGATGAGGAGATGAGATGCTACAAGTATATTGACTATATTTACAGTTTTTTTTTTTAACTGAAATCAATTATAATCAACTTTTACATTAGGTTGCTAAAAATAATTTAAATCAATTTGTGTACTAACATTAAAGTAGATTTTAGGATTTAAGATTTAATCGACTTTCATGTAATATAAATATCTAAAATATTTATGTAAAATTTTTTATTTTAGTGTATATATGTAACAGTAATTTCTTTTTATTTTATTTATTTAAAAAACTGATAAATTACTTGTTGACAAAAAAAAGACTTGAAATAAGATTTTTTTATTTTTTATATTCATAAAAGACCCACGCGACACGTTGCAGAGAATATATCTGTTTTATCAGACTTACAGGTTTCGTCTTCTTTCTCCTTTTCCTTTTTCATTCACTGATTCATTTTCTTGTTTGGCGTGGCACTGATTTATATTGGATATGGATGAACAATGCTTTTTGCAACAACTTCATGCACTTGCTACTTGATGTGCGTGATATCAGAGTGTTTATGTTATATGTTAGGGTTAGCATCAATTTCATTATTTCTATTATTTTTTAAAATATAAGGAACACACTTGACCAGTTCATGAGTTGCTCATTATTTTTTATTTTTTTTTCAGAATTTGAGCAAGTTAACCGATTATCGTGAAGCTGATTGTATTTTTTATTTGAACATTATCAAATGATACGAATAAATTTTGCACGAAAAAGTAAGAAATCTACCTATTTAAATTTCAATGGTTAATTAATAAATTAAAAATGATATAAAAAGAAAATGTTTGACAAAAATATAAAGATAATTGTATAATAGATTTCGTCAAATACGTCTTCACCATTTGGCATTTTTTTTTATCTATAAAGTAACTAGAACTAGTCATGTAACCCTTTCTTGCTTAACTAGTTCGTGAAGCCAATTCTTGTAACGGCTGAGTGAAAAGTAATTTATTTGAGGCATAGAAATTATTGAAATAAATTATGTTTCTCTTAACAAGATCTTTTTGTTACCTTCGTGACCATAATTTAAAATTTTATTAACATATCTAAAAAACATAATTATTTATTAATTATATCATACTTTATTTATTAAAAGTGTGAATTAAACAACTTAGAAGAAAAAAAAACTATTAAATCCAGTAAATTTTGAATTTTTTAACTATATTTTTCTTAACATATTATATAAAATTATATCAATATAAAATATATTTATTTTTATATTATTTAATAATTTTTATTAAATAATTTGATCTTAAAATCATCTGTTAAAGTAAAAAATTTAATCACATTATTTATATACATAAAATTTTAGATCAATGTTAAATTATTTAATATATTAAAATTAACATAATAAATATTTAAAAACTATATAAAAATAAAAATATTTAATAATATTTTTATAATAATTTAATTTTAATAAAATTTAACACAAATAATTAAAATAACATATAATCATAATTTAATATTTAAATTAATAAAAATTCACATTAAGTCATTGATTATGTGAGAAGGCATATAAATTATATTGATGTAATTGGATTTTTTAATATGATTTTATACTTTTAATTTGTTAAAATTGCATATAGTAAATAATAATAATTTATTAAAAAGATAATTCATAATATTAATATATTAAAATTTAATAATTTTTTTTATCATATGCAAGTGACAAATTTGAAAATGGAAAAGAAGTATAGCGAAACCGATAATTGTTAGTATTTGTTTTCTTTCGACCCTTTCATTTATGGAATTTGAGAAATTGGACAGAGAGTCGAGCCTCTGTGGCGCCATGTTCTTCCTGCGAGTTCACTCAGTGGACGCCGACCACCCTCTCCATTCCCAAACCATCTTCTCAGTTCTACAATCACAGTCAAAATCACAATCACGATCCCAATCCCCAAACCCTAAATTGAGCGAACGCAGAGGCGCACTGCACTTGTTCCGAAGCCCCTCTCACTCCTCAGTCCCATCCTCTCTTCTCTTCATTCTCGCCGTTCCCAACTACCTCTCCTTCGATGACTTCCTTCGATTCTGTGGTCCCCACCTCGACCCCCTCCACCACCTTCTCTTCATCAGGAACGACGGCACCGAGGATCGCTACAGCGTCCTCATCAATTTTCTTGATCAATTTTCGGCTGATGCATTTTATAACAACTTCAATGGCAACAAGTTTTCCCCTGCCGAGGTTTATTTACGTTTCCATTTATTGTCATTTCAATTTTATTTGTCTCGATTAATATTTATCTATTTTTATTTAAACGATGACGATGATGAACATTTAGGCAGAGATATGCCATATTCTGTATTTGGTATCGGTGGAGTACTCAGAATATGCACAAGTTGCTATGACTCCTCCTGCAGGTTGTACGGAAATACCAACTTGTCCTGTTTGCCTTGGTGAGTTGAATTTGTGTTTGATTGGAGATTCTTGTTTTCTATTTGTTTGGGGCAATTGTAATCTTGTGGGATGTATGTGTTTGATTGGTAGAGAGATTGGACCCAGACACAAGTGGGATACTCACAACGCTTTGTGACCATTCGTTTCAATGCCCTTGTGTCTCAAAATGGACGTACTTATCTTGCCAAGTACGTAGCTTCTTCATTCCTTCAAATTTTGTTTGTTTACACATTTTATTGCACTCATGATTTTGGTTGGTTTGGGCGATTATTCTATCGTATTAACGAGTTAGTTTAACCTAAATACTTCCAGCATTGTACGTATCCAGATGTTAATCTTGAAAAGTTGGTTATTCATGTTTCTATATACAGTGAACCTGTTGTTCATTTTGATTTGTGAAAAATGAGGAAGGAAATCAGAGTGGCAGCTACATCTCTGCATATATGATTACAGACAGTGACTTCGTAGGAATTTTAGTGCAAACCCCATCAATATTTAATTTGTGGATTTAACTCTTCTAAAGCGAGGGTTGCACTTTAGAGAGGAAAACTAAGGGAGTAGACTTTAACAACTTCGTAATTTGTTATACATGTGCATATATTTTATTATGCTGAAATTTCCTGTACTTGTGCTAGGATTATTATTGTTACAAAGAATTCTATTTTAAAGAGCTTTTGATGTTTATATTATAGGTCTGTCGTTTCTGTCAGCAACAGGATGAGAAGCCAACCTGTTTTGTTTGTGGAACGTTAGATGATCTATGGGTTTGTATGATTTGTGGATTTGTTGGATGCGGAAGGTAACATATTAGTATCACTTCTTCAATTTTCACTGATAAATTTTGTGCCAATGTGCCTAATAATATAATATATTAAACAATCACAATTTATTGTTCTTGATAGGTTATGTGCTTTCATATTGTCAGGGAAGACTTTAATGGCATAATGGCATGATTTTTCTTTTTTTATCTAGATATAAAGAAGGGCATGCTATTCAGCATTGGAAGGATACTCAGCATTGCTATTCACTTGATTTTAAAACACAGCAAATTTGGGATTATGTGGGTGACAGTTATGTCCATAGACTGAACCAGGACCAGTCTAAAATTGATGGCAAGTTGGAGATGAATTTTCGCTGTATGTCACTGGAAGGAGATTGTCGTACGTGTGAATGTCATGAAGATTTAGGAATTGATGGGGCCCTTTTCAACAGCAAAGTTGAAGCAGTATGTTTCTCATATATTTAACTCCTGATTTTTTTTCCTTTTATTGATGCTAAAACTAGCTTGGACAGATTGTCTAAAACAAAATTTGCGTCTCTGGTATGATTTTGTTCACTATGACAAACACTGGAGTCTTTGCATAGAACACTCGGTGCATATTCTGTCTAATTAGATATAAAGCCCACATAGTTAATTGAAAGAATGGAGATGAAAGGTTAAAAAAGCAATCACGTATGAAGTTACAACATCATTTCATGTTCCAATGTCAAACATTTTGTTTTTTATTGTACTGTACTCGAGTTTTGCACCCATTGCAGCTAGCACCTTGCTCTAATTATTTGGTTTTTCTTTCCATGGTCGCTGATTAGTTATTAATCATGATAACAGATTGTGGATGAATACAATTGTCTTCTTGCATCTCAGCTGGAGACTCAAAGACAAGTAAGTTAAACTCTATTGCCCTTAAAATTTTTCCTTTGAGAGATCTGAATAATTTTAAAGCAGGAGTCTTTAAGTTGTATGTATATAACTACAGACTATTTATGTCATCAACATTGCCTGAAAAGTGTCAGGGTTGCTTTCACTTCTGATGAAAGGCTTTGGGACAATTGCTATGAAACTCCTGTGTTGATCTTTTGATGCAATAATACTGATGATGATGTGTTTCTGAAATCTGAATATCTTAGTACTTTTCTTTTTTGTTTTAGTATTATGAATCCGTACTAGTAGAGGCGAAAAGTAAAGTGGAAAGTTCCATATCTGAAGCAGTGGAGAAAGCTGCAACTTCTGGAATGCAGGATATGCAAAATGAGCTGGAAAAGTATACAGAAGAAAGAAATGCCATTGCTGAGGTAACTTATCTCCTGTATTTGGTTTATTATTTGCTTGAACTGTGTTGTGTAACTATTTCTTCCTGCCCTCAGGTCAATCAGAAACTCATAAAAAATCAAGAGATTTGGCGAAATAAGGTTAAAGAAGCTGAAGAGAGGTATATACACTTTTGTATTTTTTTTCTAATTAGTTTAATTTGATTCTCTAGCAGCAAACAAGAAATTACCGCATTATTGTAGATAGTCTGCCATTGCCACTTCAGACTAACACTTAATTGTGGGTACATGTCTAAATATGGGATCATTTAGGGAAGCTGCATCAATAAAACTGATGAATGAGAGGATACTTGATTTGGAGGAACAGGTATTGCAACTGGTTTCAATAATTCTGTGTAGAAGTTTTCCAAATTTATCATTTTATGATGGGTTACATGATGATATAAACAGATTAGAGACATCAAGATTTTTCTAGAAGCACAAAAAACAATTGATAAGATGTCAGATTCAAATGGAATCAAGGAGGGAACAGTCTTACCAGTGTCTTATGAGCAATCTTTGCCTGGCAACAGTAAGAGAAACAGGAAGTCTGGTCGAAGGCGGAACTAGTTGTAACCCCAACCAGCACGCACTCAAACTTACGGAGATTAGTCTGCGTTTAAGGAGGGAAGGGCACTGCTTCTGAATCACGGAAACTTTGTGTTGAGCTAGAGGGATATCCAACTATGGGCCTTCGGTTTCTGTCTGTATATTTTAGATGCTGTATGCTTGGTGCTTGTAAACAGTTAGTTCAACCAATTTTGTGGTACTAAGCCATTCCCAGAGACCAGTTTGTGAAGCCCGTTCATGGTTATGATGGTAATTGACTTAGCTGCTATAGTAAATATTAGCAAAGCCTTACAATTCGACTCCAACGCAACTTAAAAGAATGTTCAAAACGTATTCTCTGACATATTTTTTTGAAACTCTATTATTGATCGCATTTATTGAGACTTAAGAAATGCGTGAAAGACTCACGAGTCTTGCGTATAATTTTCCGTGTTTTAATAAATTTAAATTAATAATAAAGAATGAACTAAAGAAAATATATTACTAGTATTTTTTTTTTCTTAACTTGTTTGCATTATGTGAGACTTAGTGCACACTTTTTGGTACAGTTAATTTACTTATTTTTTAAAAGCTTTTCAAACAACCGTAGAAATAAATGATTATTTTCTCATGAAAAGTTAAATTAATTTTGCACTCTAGTTCCTGAATAGTGCTATCTCAGTGATAATACTGGAGGCAACGAGGGGTGGCGGCTAGTAGCATGAGAATTTGTCGTTGTAACTTTGAAAATGATATTGGATATAATAGTGATTAAAAATAATATTTCTAGAAAAAATATTAAGGTCGTGTAATGTTAAATTTACAACAATTTTAATACAAGGGTAAGAGATGGAATAAAAGAGAGAAAAAAAAAAGTAACAAGTGATGTGATAACAAAAAAATACTTTGGTGAAAAAGTATACATTATTCTCATGATTTATAGTATTGTATTCCTTATATAGTTACCATCCAGTTATGATTGAAGATAGGGTAGATTGTTGATAAATAGGCAGCGTATAATAAGAGAACATGTCCAAAGAGATGTGCATGATGAATCATCAATAAAAGTTGTTGGATATAGTGGTTAAAATAAATGAATGGATCATATTCTAGACTTGATACCTACTGGTACAAGTGAACCCTTAACTTAGTCTCTAATATTTTTAAATAGATTTATTAGTCCTCAATTTTATTGTAACGATATTAACTTTTGTCAACTAAAACAGTGTTGTTTTACCCTCGTCCACTGACAATTTTCATTGCCGTTGAACCTACCGCCTCCACCAATGTCTCGTAACAACAGTATTGTTTCACCCTCCCCTCTCCATCGCTCACCATCACCTGTCACTGCGATTGGGGGCTTGAATTGGGCAGCCCTTTTCAGTTGTGGTTTGTCAATTTATGATTTAGGGTTAGGGAGGTAAACATTTTTTGTGGAATTAGAGCAAGTGGTGGAAGAAAGTTGTTTCGCAATTGTTCGCCATGGATTTATTCGAGTACATTGTTTGTGGTGACTCGCTTTTTAGATTGGAGGTGTCAGGTTATGGCAGGCTAGGGGGGAGGAGTCTGTAACATTGGGGTCAGAGCTTATAAGTGACGGCACGGACACCAACACCGTGACGGTGGAGTGGATGCTATTTCAATTGTTGATGGATTAGAAGTCTCGGGTATAGGAAGTGGGGAGTGGAGAAGGAAAGAGAGGAGAGGAGAGCGAACGTGGGATTGGTGGTAGAGGCGGCTCGGAGTGATGGGTAGAGAGTGTGAAACAACGATAATTCAGGACTGAACATCCAGGACTAATTTGGGGATTTACAACTCTTAGTATTCATGTTAGAGGTTTTGCACTTCAGTCCTGATTCTAACTTCGTAAACCCAATGTTCCTGTTGCCTGCAGGTAGGGTGTCACTGTCCTCCATTTTCGTCCTGGGTACTAAGGGACTTTTGTTTTTTGGAACAGAACGATAATGTTTTGCTGGCAACACCTGATTCTAAACCAGGTTGAGCGGATTTACGGTGCCTAATTTTTCCTATTTTTATGTTACGGATTTACGGATTTGCTGGCAAAAATGTACTTTTGTTCACCCACCATGTCCTTCTCTTCATTTTCACGCTCCACCATAGACTTGTGTCCACTTAGGGGGAAACCTGCACAGCATCGCTGTTCAGGAACGACGACCACATAGTGGTGTGGCGATGGAAATGTGTTGGAGACAGTAAGCGGTGAAAGCGTGCAGTGTGTGGGTAAATGCTTATGCGGGCATTGGGGTCGAGGGCGGAAAGGGTGACATGCATGGTGGAAGGATGATCCATGTTTGGAAGATTATTATTTCTCATCTTTGTGGGTGATAGACGGCTTCGGTTTTTGCGGGTCTTGTACAGACCCCCTTGAGGTATGGATTAATTAGCAAAAATAAAAAATATCCCAAAACTGGCTATAGCCCTAAAAAAGTCCTGGACCATCAATGAGAATATTGAACCTTCCCTACTGTAAAAGCCACCAAATAAATGATTGAATTTTAAAAACAAGTTATTGAAGCACCGGAGAAGATGAATGGACATTGAATAATTGTTTATTCAGTAGATTTAACTATTGAATGTGTTACATGATCCAAAAAAAAAACAAAAAATGCACTCTGAAAAGATGAACAACGCACGAGACTCCTTAGGTTAAGCTATGATTGAAAGTTATGTTTAGAAGTAGAGAGGAGGAAAAGGAAAGAAAGGAGTTAATAAATTTAAACATGCACTCTTGTATTTTTTTACAGTTAAAATTTTTATTTTTTTAAAAATAATTTTTTAAGTAAGGATTATTTTAAAAAAATTATTAAAAAAATTAATTATTTTTAAGTTATCAATTTAGAAAAAATATTTATTTTTTATGTTTTTAAAAAAATAAAAATATATAAATAAAAAATATGAAAGCAATAATATTAAACTCCCATTATCCTCACTTAACATTAAACATAAGAAAAGTTTAACCTCCTCTCTCTTCCCCTCTTCTTTTCCCTTTAAGCCCTTTCCTACTCTTCTTCTTTAAACTCCCAAACTGATAATTACTAGTTGATATTAATTTTAAATCACAAAAAAACTTAATTTCCCTTATAATTTAACCAATTTTCACATTTTTTGTAATTTCTAATAAATTTTATATTGTTCAAATGTAAAAAAAATAAAATTATTTTTAACACTCTTTAGTTCAGCCATTAATTACCAAGTGAAATACCTTAAAAAAGTTTTAACATCATAGAAAAATAAAAACTGCAACAAGGTCAATAATAATGAATATTCAAAGTCAATTTTGATAACTGTTATTGCGAGATCTAAATATACCAAATGCAGATATTTAACACGTCCATAAAAAAGCCTCATTGCATAAAACACTTAACCCATTCATAATGATGGCTCTAAAAGAATCCTTGCACAGAAGGTAAAAATAAAACTGAATATCAGAGTAGCTAACTTTAGCTGAAAAAAGAAAAACTATAACGACTAGTTCACTATATATTAAAAAAAAAAAAACTACACAAATAAAGGTAGGCCCAAAGTAAAAAGGCAAACAAAATAATAATAATAATAACAATGACCCTCCACTCTGCAAAGCCCCAGCCGAATTTACACTAATAATCCTAGATGAGTAACATACTCTGCCAATCCCATGGAGCAGGTATTGGTTAGGAAGCCACTAACAAGGTGATTGATTCAATTGATTTATCCTAACCTAAAGACACCTACCTTCCCCATCTTCCCCTTGCAAACCGAACGGAGGCACCAGGGGGCGGGATCATATGCAATCAAACACACACTAGAAGGTCCTAACAAAGTACTACATAATGTGATGTCATCTTTGAGGTTGCTCTGGAACAGGGGCACCTGAAGTAGTGCTAGGCCCAGCACCGTTCTCGGTTGGAGGTGGAGAACCCCATCTACCTTCTGACTCTAGTGGTTCAAGCACATGTACTCCGCCATCAGTAAGCCCTAATGCAAATTGATTGTGTTCAGAGGGATGTGCAGCAATCACAAGAGGATACACTCTCAAGCTGTGAAAAGGAATTTCATTAAACATTAGGAAAGGACAACTCAATAACAGATCTTTCATTACAACTGACAATAAAGCTCACCTTGGATTGGGATGGAGATAAGCAGTTTGATTTATTCTACATCTTAATCTGAGAGTTGAGGCAGTAAGAACGCCGACACTTCCATCTTCAAAGCTTACATATATTAACTGACTATCACATGAGTATGTAGCATGTGTGATTGGACCACTAGCTTCCCGAGGCACCCACTAATCATACAAAAAAATGAAGTACAGTAATATATTAAGCTTGATTGCTTGAACTAGAGATCACATTGAAATACATAAGCCAACTGGAGCTAGCAAATAATAGAACATACAATGTGCTCCGCAAGATTCAAGCAAACAAATGCATAAATTCAGATTTAGTCATCTGTTTAAATACATTTAATTATGTTATATATAACTAGCACACCTGCTTTAGGCATTCCAACTTTGGAGCCTCATATATGGCTATTTGAGTTTCATGCACGGCCAGTAAATGTGTCTGGTCTAGGTGAAATTGGACACGAGTGTCTGCAAGAGGTGCTGGTGATCGGCCACTGGGCATTTGTAGGAATTTGCTTGCTTGCTTTTCCCATAGATCTGTGCTCCAAACACACAACTGTTGACATAAAGAAAACCAATGAAGGCATTCATGATTTCCACTTCATACATGGACAATAAATTAAATGCTTCCAGAAGCAGTCATTTTAAGAAACCATTCTCAATCATGACTCCAGTGAAACAGACTCACATGCATAGACAATCTATTTTGGCATCAAATATCTATGAACTAAGCAACAAAAGGACATTTTCCTCTTGAAAGGTGACTTTAGATTTTGGCAAATCATAGCAAAGAGAATTTAAATTCCTTACCTGAGAGTCAGCTCCAGATGACACAAGCACATTTAGAAAGTGAGAAAAGGCAAGACCGGTAATTCTCTTCTGATGACCTCTTAGCTTGGTTTTGACCTTGATGGGAAACCGGGGGGGGGGGGGGGGGGCAAAGTCAAAAACATCAAAATACTAACCAACAACTCTAGAATTCAAGATCTTGCAGAGAGTAATACCTCATCCACTCGAACATTGTAGATTTGTATGGAAGAGTCGTCCATGCCAATAGCAATAATATTGTTGTCTTGAGGATGAAATGCAAGAAATGTAGCAGCTGGGGGTGGCGGCATGAAAGTTGTCATTGTCTGCAGTTAGGATTCACAGAAATTTATGTGATCACAATATAAAATTACAAGAAAAAAAAATGGAGTTCTGGAAATAATAAAATAAACTATCAAAAAGATGCTTAGTTGAATACTTAGCAGATAGTAGACAATCATCTAAAGTATGGGGAGTAGCATTTTTTGTTCTTATTAGAGTTTGTGCGTCTGGCAACGGTACTGTTTATACTAAGGAGTGACGACTGCTCCCAACAATGCAGGACAAATTTAATATAGTAAACATTAGGTACCAGTAGATGCATACAATATCTATTTAAGCTCACTATGTTTATTATCTTGTCTATTGATGGATCAAGCAAACAACCAGTAAATTAATTTTTCAATAAAAATGAATTTGCAACAAGACCCACATCTTAATAATTCCTCAAGTTAGTTCATACATCAAAATATAAAAATACACAAAATGAAATCCATATATACCTTGAATGTCATCATGTTGAATAGGGAAATTTTCCCCCCTGAAGCAGACATAACATACGAGTCATTCTTTGACAGTGCAAAACATGACACAGCATCCTCTGGGTTAGTATCACTTATATCATTAGTCATCAATATTCCACTAGATGGTTGCCATAGTTGTGGTTGAATACTCGCAGTAGCCTGTATAAGAAAGTATTGTTTTAACAGTCTTATGAACATTAACATGTAAGTACAGAATGGTATTATAGATTATGCATTACCTTCCCTGAAGTGTTCCTGTCATTTCTCTGCCATTTCCAAAGCTTGTGAACAGCATTTGCTGCCAAAGCCAAAATTGCAACCCCTTGGTTTGTATAAATTAACCTAGAAACCTGAAACAATATTTAAAATGAATAATTGGTTAAACTTATAGGTTTCATGCATCCAAAAATATTTAGGTAAGCTAGGCAACAGGCATAAATATGTCCAATTTCATTTCTCTAGAAACCAGTAGCATGACTATGTGAAGTAGTTCAAGTTATCAGGAGAGTAGACTGGGTGTAGTCAAATTGATGTTCATTGAAAATATGTCTTACAATTTTTTTTCTAACACTCCTATTGTGAGATCCTAGATGGTATCTTGGATATACTCTATTCCCATTCTTCGATGGTCCTAGTCATATAGTTGCTGCCTGTCTACAACATTTTACCTCCAAGCATATGTCCAAATAACTGTGTATCTAACCGAGCAAATGCTAAACAGTTACAACTTCCTTAGTAAGCAGTTATTGCACTGCCTAACACAATTGAAAACAGTGGTTCAAACCCTGCACAATGTTGTTTATCTCTATAGTCTATACTTCCATGAAAGTTGGATTCCCCTACTTTCATCTCTACTTCTGAGTTTCCTAAAAAATAAAGTTTCTAGCACCAATCATTGACATCTGCTAAAAAATAATTGAATACTGTTCCAGTTTGAGTTATCAAATCCAAATGAATAATAAAAGGAAGGAAAAAGAGAAAGGAGGTACTATAAAAATTTGAAACATGACATGCAAACAGATTTATAGGCAATATTGTGTGCCATGCACTACACACATACAGTACAAGCAATATAACATTTATTCATTGAATATATATTTATTTTGCAGAAATATGATTCAACAAGGAAGCAGAGCTACAAGCTCATGTAGCAGCTTCAAATGCCCAAATAAAAAATCTGAACTATAAAATTTTAATATCTGACAATACCCTCATTGATGATAAACTATCAGGAAGTTTCAGGGAGCGGCATTGTGATGGTTCATTAATTTCGGTTAGCTTCCATATCCTAGATTTATCCACAGCTTCATCAACAATTCTGGGTTTGACATCAGCTAGACTTCGAGTATCGTTATTCTACAAAGAAAGAGAATAGTATAATTAAACATAGTGCCCCACAAGAAGTGAAATGCGATCCTCATTCATTGATTAATTATATATGGAAAAACTCACAATCCCAACTGTGGCTGCAACTGGAGGAGCTCTATCAGCGAGGCTTGTTCCAACAGCTACATTGGTAGAAGGAAAAGCTCCAATAGTAGGTGCCTGAATTCACATGAAGCATTAAGAAGATGTACTTCCAGTATATTAGCAAAATTTGAATAACTTTACCTTCACAACAGCTGCAGAAGCAACTCTAGATGCATCAAACGGACGATTCTCCACTGTCCGAATCAGCCTAATCCCTTCAGCATTAGCTAGAATTTTAACTGCATTTTCATTTGTGGAGACAGCCAACAATATTCCTTCCTTGTTAAATCTAATACAGGGAGATGCCTGCAGTTATCATAGACATGTGTTACTATGCAATAAAGTTATCATCAGATAAATAAAACACAATTGCAATACAAATATTACCAGTAATCCACCTTCTGCATCTACACTTGTTAACATGTTTGTATTATCCATGTCCCAGAATTTGATCATAAACTCGTCACCAGCAGCCAAGAACCGATTCTTAGTAGTATCAAATTGCACAACACCAGCAGACCTCCTCCCAAGACCATGATACGTTCGCTTCACAGCTCCTTCACTTTCATTCCATTCCACTAGAAATGACTCCCCTTCTTTATTAGTGCCACATGAAAACAATCTGTAAACCATAGATGGATGATAAGAAAATAATTAAAGAAGTTCATGCATCAGACAAGGGGGAGATTAAAAGAAGCACAATGTTTGAACCTTGTTCCATCAGCACTATAAGCCATTGTGGTAGATGAATGACCAGGTGCATCATAGTCAACCCTAGAACCAACATTATCATACAACCACGCCTTTATTTTTCCATCAGTTGCAGTTGAGAAGATGAACTGCATAGCCACAACAGAACATAGTTGGAAATTATATAAGAAAGCATTTGAATATGTGAAACAAAACAAACAAAAATAAAATAAAAAATATTATTTTCTTATCAAGGCCAACTGTATCCAACAATTCAAAGATATGACATGCACGCAAGCTTTCAGACCTAAAACTATTTGTTCTATGCTCGTCCCATGAATTATAAAAACTTTACAATTGACATCAAATTTCACACTCATTATTTTGGGTGTGGGAAAGAACACCAGTCTGCTGGCTCATAATAAAAATATGCAAAAATTAGAGAAACGTTAATTTAGGAAGGAGCTTTTTTATATTGAATTACAAACATTGCATTGGATTTTAGATACACAAATGTGCATGAACAATTGTTAAGAACTAATGCATTTACTCTTCTGCATCTTCATATTTATATACACTCTGATGGTAAAACCTCAATGGAGCTAGGAGTTGTGCTACACATACATCATCAATAAACATGAATGGACATAATTTCAGATAAAAATTTGTACACATGTGAGCCCTCTAAAAACTAAAACATTAACAGATAAATAAAATACATGCAGAAAATATACAGATCATAGGTTACAAGACTTTGCCTGTACTGCACACCTGTAGGCCATTTGAGCAAGATTGCTACTTCAAAAGTAACCACATAATTTCTCATTTTTTAGTGTTTGCATAAATAAATTTTCTTTCTTTTTTTCCCAATAGTTTTCCTTTCTCAATTCCTCTCATTTGGACAACTGATGAACATACACACGCACAGATATAAATTATTACCTGAATACTTTCTTTGTGATGAGGGCATACAGAATATACAGGTGATTCATGTCCCTCAAAAGTATATTGCTTTGTACCTGTAACTGCATCCCATACCTGCAAAACCTTGAACTCTTAAAAATGGCTTTTAATTGACATTGACATATCTATTATAAAATGTATGACAACTAACCTTAATAACCCTATCCTCTCCACAGGTCACAACACAAAGTTGTTTGTTTGGATAAGAAAAGGCAAGATCATTGACACTCCCAGCATGAGCTTCAATCTGAACCACAAAAACTGAGTAAGCAGCTATAAATCAAGCAGATAAGTAGCAGGCCTTTTGCATCCAATGTATAGATATATAAACTGGATTAACAACAAATTTAATAGAAAAAACTAATGGACTTTAGAGAGACAAACTAACCTCTAGATGGTTTCTAAGATCATCCCCACCATGATAGGAATATATGTGTACAATATGTTTAGAATAAGCTACACCTGAAATATCAACAAGGATAAATCAAATTTTAACTTCTAATAAAATTGTGTTCAAGGCAAACAGCAGAAACATATCTACACTCATCGTGAATAAGAGAGCAACACACACACACACACAAAATCATTAGAACATACTGCATAGTGTTCCATCAGGACTCCACACCACACGGTTGACTGATACTGTGCAATCATTGGAAAGAGATGCCTATATATGAATAAGGGAATCAGTAATAACCACATGACAAACAGTATTATAAAAAAGTCAATAAATATGCAGTATTCACAATTTTTCTGTTGAGAGCCATACCTGTAAAGCCACTGAGCATGCCCCAAGTTCCCAGACTTTAAAATTTTTATGCGCAATCCTTTCACGGCTGCCTATATCCCACACCATGACATCGCCCATGTTTGTTCCAACTAACCATTAAGAGAAATAAATGAATAAACAAACAGAACAAATAAAATCAACAAACCTAACATACAGAAAGAGAAGAAATTAAGACATAACTCGTACACACCAAAAGCAGCTTACCAAGCAGTAGAATTTGTTGAAGTGGATGGAAATCCATACTTTTGACAATTGAACCTTGATTGAGAGTCATCACAACAGTTTTAGGCAAGTCATCAGAGGAATAGGAGCTCTGACCATGGCTCTGGCTAGAGTATGCAACAGGAAGCAAATTTACTGGTAGATTGTTGACCTGTTAAAATATGAATAAACAGGGACCAGTTATATGCAATGAGCTATCACTTCAACTAGCAGGTAAATTCTATATTTCAAGATGTAAGGAGAAAAAAAATCCAGAGAATTAAAGATAGAGAAACAAGTTGCATTAGACAACAAGGCATGCAATATAAACAACAAACATCAGTCCACTCATAAATTATATGAATCACCATTACACCCCAACAAGATGTACAGGAAAAGTTTCTAAGCACTACATAAATGCAATTTAATAATGTGGTATGAAAATAATTTTGAAAAGAGAACTAGCAAATCCCATTGGTTATTCGGTTGTGTTCTTGGCTTGCATACAAACTGATATAAATGCGGTTATCCAAAACACATTTTCAAACATATTTCAATTTTGAAAATGATTAAGTTAAAACAATTTTGTTGTAAAAAAGGAGTATATGAAAACACAAAACTAAGGTCATTTCTAGGCAAATGTTATTTAACTTTTCTCTTCATAATTACATAATTGAGGAATAGATATCCAATTAACGATCAGCCTGAATATAATAGCATGAAACCGTAATGGTAAATGAAGGTCAGGGTGCCAAAATGCAAAACAATCTATCAATGGTCAGACACTGGCAGGCAATTTGAAATGCCACCTACTCCTGCTTCATAAAAATGTTACATTTAGAAAGCATCAAGCACTAAAAGTCTAAAACAGATACAGATAAATGTGTGCACACACAAACAACAATCAAACAAAAGAAAATATTCTCAAAGTACAATAACAATTTCAAACTTTCATTTTTAAATTAAATAAGACAAAGGAGCTAATAGAATGCAAGTAATGTACTTCATCTGATATCCCAAAAGGTCTTGTTCTCTTCAATACATGATCTGAATCTGCAGTTTGATAGTCCATAGCTGGGTTATTGGTAGGAGGGGTTCTGGGGCGCTTTAAAATAGCTGCTACCATTAGAGAAAGTAGAAAGCCAAAAAGAGCAACAGAAAATCAGTTTGGTTACATATGAAGTGTACAATCCGATTTCATTAAATGGCCCAATAAGCTAATCACAACTGTATATCAGTTTTATAACCTTAAAGCTGCTATTGCATATAGCATGTATTTTCTTCATCATGAGTGATCACACCAGTAATGGATAGCAACCACACACAGATCGCAAGGAACTAATGTAAATTCTGAAGCCATGTGATATGAGAAACACTCATAAAGAGTTACTACTATTCATCTAACCTGCATTATTAGCTGCAGCCAAACCTATGGGTCCTGCAGAAGCCGAAGGGTGTGGAACAGGAGATGGGTTGGCCATCCATCCAGCAAGGGATGTTGGAAGAGCAGCAGGTGTGGGCTGAAATGGCTGAAAAATATACAAACAGAGACATAGTAAGCATAAAAAACATTGCTAGAGTAACGTTGATGAATAACATCCTGTTGTTTTTCTTACTCCGTGAGCACTTAATGGTGGGAAACCTCCGCCCTTTGGGACAGCACCCATTAAGGGATTGGTGACAGGGGATGGGGCCCGTGCACCATTTGGTTGCCCACAACTATGGTCTACAAAAAGGGTCTTTATGTCAGGGTTAGACCTCGGATTCTTACAAAGTTGATGCTGCCAATTTAAACTGCAAGGCAATAAATATATAAAATTAGAATAACAACAAACTTATCACCGAATGGATTATATTGACACATAAAAGATAAGATCTTTCTAATAACCTCTGATTAATTAGAGTCCGCAATCTGGAGTTCTTCAAGGTAGGAAATTGAAGCTTGTCACGAAACAGAGGGTTAGCTTCTATTAATTTCTTCAGTTCAGCCAGCATTATGCCTCTGGCAGATTTTGTATCTCCATACTTAGATAGCTGTTCATTATGTCTGCAAATTCATAAAAACCCAGTTATAGGTGGTGGGAGCGGATTGGGGAAGTGGGAATTAATAAGCCAGGCACCGAACCATAATCCAAACCTAAAGTTATCCAAAGTCAACAATTGTGTGATTTCCTTAAAAAGCTCCTCATTAAATGCTGCGAATACTTTCAAGTCCTTCACTAGAATATCCACCGCTTTAGCTCGATCTTGCCTGCGACATTTTTTTCTTATTCAATTGCTAAGTAACAAAAAATTAAACGGCCTACAAGTAAGCAAATTAAAAAAGAGTAGCACAGCCAAACACCACAGGTAACCTACTTGTCTAATGCTTCTAAGTACTTCTGCTTCCGTATCTCAAAGAAGATCTTCATGGAGTATCTATTGTCATCGACCTTCGTAAAACCAGACAAGTACTTCTCCACCTCATCCCACTCCCCATTCGTCACCATATCCTCGAAATACCTCATGTTAAAGAAAAATCCCGATTCTTGCTCCAACCTTCACACGTTCACAAATTCACATACAAAATAGATATTAACAAATTAAAATTAAAGAAAAAGGGAAATAAAAACCTAAAATAAATTTAAATTCTACGAGACCAGCGTACTTGTGAACAGTCTCCTTAAATTTCTCTTCGTCGAGAAACTGAAGTATAAGAAAAACAAGCTCTCTGCTGAGCGAAGACATGACGTTGCCCTGAAGTGGTTAAACAAAACTCGCCTGAAAGATCCAAAACCGAACAGATCAACAATACCTGAGCATCGAAACATAGAATTGAACGGCAGATACATCAAAACCCACAAATTCATCAACATACGTATATACAAATACATCACAATCACACGGAGCTTTAAATTGGACAGAAAATCTTGCTAGAAAAAAAAATGAGAGGGCGAAGGAGCTCTCACCTGCCAGAGATTCCTCGGCACAGATCGACAGGCGTCGGAGCAGAACGAGAATGGCGAGGAAGGGTTTCAGTATTTTCTCGCTCTACTTTCTCTCTCTAGCTTTTTCTGTGTTGGAGCTCTTCTGGCTGAGTATTTATACAAGGAAAGGGGGCTAGGGATTTGAAGGAGGAGAAAGAGAAAAACGGGGATAGAAAGAGAGAGAAGAATTGTGATAAGCGACGAAATAATGGTATCAGACAGTTTAAATAGCGTGAGCGAGATTGAGATGAGATGGAATCATGGCTTTGTATTATAAGTGGTTGGATAAGTAAGCCTACTTATAAATTTTGATAAGCATAGTGGCTTATAAGGCTGATGCCTTATTGGCTTATCAGTCATAAATTTGGCTAGATTTGGATTTATTTGCGGCTGCACTTGCGGGGTTTTCAACCTGCGGTAACACTAATTATTTTCTAAATTTTATTATGAGCTAGCATTCAATTTTACATTTGTTATTTATTATTTAAGATTAAATTTTTTTTTTAAAATAAATCATGGAATATGTTATGGCCTTATTTGTCATCCCTGAAGTTTTCCTCTGTTTGGCTTTATCTTTCTGTCTAGGTATATCTGTATGTTTTGATTAGGTAGAGATTTCAACTACTTTCTTATCAAAAGAAAAAAAAATTAATAACATTTTTTTTATATTTTGGTTTATTGAAAAGACAAATTATTTCTTATATTATTAGAATATTTGACCTTTTTATTCCCCTCATGAACAAGATTAGGATGTTATCGCACAACTAAAGTTACTGTTATTCCATCCTTGGTGGATCCCATGTTATAATCTCTGCGTGTTTGTAAATTGTAAGGTGTAGTCCTCCAGTGATAGCCACTTCCGAAGCACTAACACGTAATAATAATCCGAGAAGTTTTTGGACACTTCACATATGCTACCTAGGAATATTAAATTTAAATCATTTTTTAACTTAAATTAATAATATATTTAAATTTTTAATAATTTTATAATTTAAAAAAGTAAGTATTATAATTTTTTGTATTAAATGTAATTAATTAAAAGATATAGTATTTTAAAGTTATAAAATAAATTTTAAAAAATTTTAAAATAAATTCAGATACAGAAAAAAAAAGTCATATAATGTAATAAAAGTAGTTTTATTTTAAAATGACACTCGCATTTAATATGTAAAGATTGACTGAATAAATAATTTTATTAATAAATATCTTAAGAATATTGATCAAAATATTAAAAATATGTAAGGAATGTAATTGAAATATATTAATAATATATTTTAATACAAAAATCACTTTTGATTTTTGCCATAAATAAACAATAAAAAAAATATTAACACCGTGCTAAAACCGCTTTTAATGTCACTTCTTAGCTAATTTCTTACCTTTGACATTCTTTTCTTTTTTTAAGAAATGTTAATTAACTTTAGAAGTGGGTTCCAGTTTTTTTTTTTTTTAATAATAAAAATTGTTTTGTGGTTAATGATGCTTCAAAAATTCATTTTAAGCGATTATAAATAATAATAATATTTTGTTAAAAATGTATTTATTACATTAAGATTACACTCAAATATATATATATAATAAATTTTATTTAATAAAAGTTGTCAATTTTATACACTTAAAATTAATTTTAAATACTCCTATTGATAAAATTAATAAGAATAAATTTAATGACGTTACGATGATGTTTTTAAGAAACAAAATTTTAGCATTATTCTACAATTGACTATTAAATGTTAAAAAAATTCAATAATACATTACTTAATAATAATTTTAAAACATATTATTTATTACTAATTAAATTTCATTTTAAAAAATACAAAGATTATGTACAAGTTTTACTCATAATTAACTATTTTTAATTGTATTCTAAATTTTTTTGATAAATTTCAACTAACACTCTTCTTGAATCTTCTTTTTCATGCTAATAATTTTTATTATTTTTTATGTAAATTTTGAGATAAAATATGCTCACAGGGCTTTGCTAATATTTTTTAAATATGTCAATAAATGAAAATCATTTATTAAATAATTAAATTTATAATAAACACACGCACATATATATATATATATAATATTTTTCATGATTTTTTTTAATCAATACTATGTAAATATTTGTTAACATTCTCATACATGTATAACGAACTATGAAAGAAGACTTTTTTTTTCCTATTAAAGAAGGCTCTTTTTACGTACGCGACAAAATAAACTATGTTTAAAATTTTGCATTTATCTATTTTTTATTAATTTTACAAAACCTTGTTTATTTAACACCTATTAAAAAAATTAATACAAAACTTATATATTATCTTATCACTTAAAATCGAAGGATTTTGTTAAAAATATTGACCATCCCATTACACATAAAATTTTAATGAGTTTTATTTTATCCTTTAAAATTACGTATCTAAACTTCTAAAATAACACACAATTTTGTATTAAATCCTTTAATGTGAAGTAAATAGGGGGAAAATTACTTAATAAAACCTTGAAGGGTTGGTTACTAAAATAAAATAAAATTTTGGTACTGTATATTTGATAAATTATAAATTTAAATTGTCAAACCAAAGTGATATGGAAATTCATTTATTTTACCTGTAGAAATTGATTCAAATGGTAAGTGATTTGATATTTTTCAAATAAAGTTTTAAGCTTAAGTTTTTGTGTATGAAAAATTTTTCAATGTTAAACTCATCTACTATATCTATGTGCATAATTCATATTTAATTCAAATTAAACTAGATGAAAAAAAAATCGTTTAGAGAATGTTTGATTTTTTTTTAAAATTATTTTTATTTTTCAAAAATAAATTATGATACAAATTTGTATTAAATCTTATTTTTAAAAACTAAAAACAATTTTTAAAAAAAAGCATGCTCTTATTCTTCGGACTTCTAAAATATATATATGACTAGACATGGTGTCGTTTTTTATTCCTTTTTTATCAAATCTTTCTTGCTAAATAATCTCGATTAGTAAAATAGGAAATTATGGTATTAAAAATATATATCAGTGTAAATCCACAAACTTTATATACATGCGTAAGGGAGGAATAAAATCGCGTTCTTAATTCCAAAAATTTTAATTTGTATTTTTTAGTAACTAATTAAAATTTCATCAAAGTAATAAATTTTATACTATACAAAAAAAAAGAGATTTAAAATATTATAATATAAATGTGACTAAAAAAGATTAAAAAAACACGTAAATAGTTTGAATTTAGAGTGAAAAAATAAACTTAACCAAAAAAGAAAATAACATAAGTGACTGAAAGTAGAGACAAAATATGGAAATTTAAAACAAAATATTGATGTGAAAGAAAAAGAGAATTGATTAATAACTTAATAATTTTAAAATATAAAAAATAATAACAAAGTCATGCGTTACCCTATAAAAAAGGGCAATTAGACATGTCTTTACATAAAGAGTCAGATTTACAATAAAGTGGTTGATTCCTTGATTATCTCCTATTAAAAAAATTTGGTGAGTATATTGTAAATGAATTTATTTTTTTTACATACCGTGAATGAACTTTTTTACATGTGTGTATGGATTTCCTTTCAAATTAAATATTTTATTTTATATTTATAAATAAACTAATACAAATTAAAAGTATATTAACATATAAAACGCTGTATCTATATATGGCAATAGGCAGAGAAAAATTATAACCATGCTCCACACGTGAGATTTACGTACAATCTAGATTATTTCTACGTGTGTGCAAGAAACTATTCATATAGGGCATGCTTTAATGAACTCCTAACTAAATAAAGAATCTCGGTAACTAGTATTTTAAAGATATTGATTAAAAAAATAAGAATATTATAAAATTTATAAAATATGTATATAAAAAAAAAGTTTTAATAATAAGAAATCCAAAGACACGTATTAGTATTTACTTAAACAAACATTGGATGTATTAAATTGATTTGCAGTACGTAATTATGATATATAATCCTGAAATATTAATTTGTTTTATTAATAAGTGTTTTTAAGGTATTGATTATTTTTCTTAAACAATAAGTGTTAGAAATTATATTAAAAATGCATTACAAATTAAGGAAGATGTGCTCGTAAACAGTTTTTTTTATATTAAAAAAATATCATTTAATTTCATCATTAGGTTAGCAATTTTTAAAGTTTTACCAATTATTGTCTTTTGAACATTAAATAAATGACTAATAAATAACAGAAACATTATAAATTATGGTAAAATTTGGTGAAAAATTTAAATTCACATGGCTAAGTTGGTAATCTTTTTTTATAATTAATTTATATTTTAAATACCTTAGAAGGTGTTACATACGTTTGTAGTACATCTTTTAATATTAAGGGTGTGCTGGATTCAACAATGAAATATAAAGAGAGAGAAAAAAAAAGTGTGAGAATGAGAAATTGAATGAAAAATGTATTATTTGGATGAGTTAAACAAGATAAAAAAATTAACTTATTAAGAAAAAATGTTAATTAAAACTTTTTAAAATAATCATTCAAATTATTTTAAATTTAATTTTAAAATGTTAATTATAATATTTTTCTCATTTTTGTATATTTTTAAACACTGTTAATAATTTAATAGATGAAAAATAAAACAAAACTCATAATTCTCTCTTCCAACCTTCTTTAATTCAAGGTTTTTTAAAAGGTATATCTAATTCCCTCTCAGGTGTGGCCACATCAACTTTGGTTAATTTTAAAGTTAAAATCTCAAAACCAAAGCTAATTAGGATAGAAATAAAAATGGGTTTACTTAGGTAATGTCAATTAACCACTCTTGTAGTGGTTATTGTTACCTGCCATGTGAATTACTACAATACATCTGCAAATTGTGACAAACCTCTGGGCAAGTGTTGTGTTAAACCTATGTAAGAGTTTCACCCCACACTCACTCCTTTGACTCTTAGCAACATGAGAGCCACATCATAATGCAACACCACTTGACTGGCAAATTATAATATTTTAATAAAAATTATATTAATATCTTTTAAAAATACTCAATATATTTTAAGAATATTAATTAACATTTAGGTTAAAGAAATCACAATTAGAGCATCTCTGGAAGAAAAATGCTACTTTATTATGATTTTAGTAAACTTTGCTCTAAGAGTATACAAGCAACGTACAAATACACTGATTAGGAAATTAAAAAAAAAAAGTACGAAAAATAAACACATGTTAAAAGATAGATAGTCTTAAAAA